AATTTTTTTTAATTTGAATAGCACATATGAATATACTTTACTTTTTTTTTTTTTTTAACCTTTTTAGTGCTTTGGATTCCTGAGATTAGTATAATTTGATAAATTATAACATGGACTGCAGTATCTTACTAACTAATGCTAACAATGTTACAATGAATCAATCCACTTTATTTATTTTTTTTCTTGTTTATATTAGGTTATGTCAGTATTGAATCTCTAAATTAATAGTTATTGTACAGTTATTTTAATGGAAAACATATTTTACTAAAACACATAATTGTGTCTGAGGCCCATCTATAAGCTAAGGTGGATTTCATAGAATCAAGCATATGAATTATTTATAATGTTTGTAAATTGCTTTGTAAATAAATAAATAAATAATCCACAGATCTCTACAGAACAAGATTCAATTACAGCACTGAGCATATGAGGGCAGAGGACAAAGTACGTCAATTAATGTGGCCAAAACTTGGCATGATGGTACCATCTACTTGTCCCCAAATTGATAAATTTTATTCCGTATTGTGGAACATTCCAAGCAAAGCAGTAACATCAAGCAAGTGGCAGATCCTCCACCAGAAAAGTTACATTCTGCACCTTTAAATTGATTTGTAGATTACAACAAAACCATCTTTTCCTATGCACAGCGCAGTCAGTGGACACTCCCACTCCCTGTGTGTCTGCACAGAGCAGACTCAGAAGCTCCTCCCTTTTCACATCTGGGCCAGCCACAATTCGAACAGGCACATACCGACATTCTTTGACTACCACATGGACAAATAGATTAGCGTAACAGAGTTAGCAGCAGCACAGCTAAAAGTGAGGAACTAAGGACTTTTGTTTGCTTATGTGAACACACACGAGTTTTACCAGGATCACCCTCAAGCCTATTTCCACCAGACTTGCATTACCTACATAGCATTACCTACATACTTCAGGTAAGAATGGCTTTTAACATTTTTTAGTCTGTATAATAGTTAAGCAGTTGCAGTTGTGTATGTGTATTTTTGGCTTGATAAACTCTTTTGGAGAATTATTTAAAAGGAAACTGCAAAGTTTCAACATGGTTGTCACATGCTTGATGACAAAGTAAATATCTGATAGTTAAACAGTAAAGAGGTTTGAGTAAATCTTAATAGTAAAGTATAAAGTATTAATATACTTCCTGAATGACATAAAAGGAATAGTGACTAAGTAGCTAACCATCAAGGCTTCACATTTGAGTCAGTCTTCCTGAACTTTTCATACATGTCTAAACTTGTACTTTATATCATGTTTGACGCAATGCTTGTCAGTATTATTTTACTAACTACAGCTTATGTTTATATCAACTTGCACAATGCACATTCTGACATATTTTACATCCATTTCCTTTTCTTTTTGTGTTTGTGAATTGTATTGTGTAGTGTGTGTAGTTTGTCTTGTGTTTATTTGAGCATACCTTATTTAAAGAAATAGTATCCTCACTTTAGGATGCTGAGTCCCCTGGGAACTGTCAAGGATTCTTCTATTCCACACTGATTGTATTATCTCTAAACAACATGACACAGCATATTTAGTAAATACACATTTAAAAATTACGTGCAAATAGATATATGTTTGATTTGCCTCCAGGTATATTTTGAACACTTAATGAATGTAATAACAAACCAAATCAACTCTGAGATAAGGTTTTTATGATAGAGCAGGTATTAACTTATCTTCTTTATTAATGCAAATAAGTTATAAACTGCCTGCCAGAACTGCACATCAAAGTCAAAGTCAAATGGCAGTGGCAGAAATTTCCAAACAGGAAAGTGGATTTCAGGAAAACTGAATAGGGAGGGTCATGTTGGGAAACACTATGAAGTAGACTTTTAAAGGCCTCTGCTCAGCTGCAGAAGCACAAACTGTTCAGTGGTTAAACAAAACTTTTTTTCCACAGTTAATGCCATGTCTTTAACTGAACCCACAAAGAATTGGCAGCATTTAAATTACTGGGTCTGGATGTAGTTTGACTCAGCTGGGTGTAACCTAATATGGAAAAAGACCTCATTTTTACAATACAGTTTAGTACTGCTGTGTGTTTCTCATATTGTATGTTGCATGCATTCCTATAGGATGCCATTAGGTGGAGGTAACAAGTGCGGTCGCTGCCAGAAGACGGTGTACTTTGCAGAAGAGGTGCTCTGTGATGGGCGGAGCTTCCACAAGTCCTGCTTCCTGTGCAGTGAGTAAACTTACTGTTGTTTCCTGTCATTGTTGTTTATGATCTATTAACATTTAATACCCACAGAATATAAAGTTCTGTGTTATTATTATGAAGTAGACCAAGATGTTAAAAAAGGAAAAGGAAAAGAAACATATTGTTGTCTTAGGCTCTTTTATAATGAAATGTAGGGAGGTTCCTGGGCGTACTTATCTTTGATCCAGCGTTGTTATCAAGCATTCCTGGGATGGAATTCGGATTACATCATGTTTTCATTTCTGCTCCATAAAAGGCAAAAGTTAGGAGTTAACCAAGGCAAAAGTGTTCAAAATATGTACCCATAACATGATAAACACAATAAATAAAACTGTGGTTATTTTCAGTGGTATGTCGGAAGTGTTTGGACAGCACCACTGTGGCAGTTCATGAAGACGAGGTGTACTGCAAGGCCTGTTATGGCAAGAAGTATGGTCCAAAAGGCTATGGTTATGGGCAGGGAGCGGGCACTCTCAGCATGGACAAGGGGGAGTCTCTGGGTATAACACATGAAGAGTAAGTAACAGATACATTCAATTGTGTATAACGTAATTTGTTTAACTATTAATGAGTTTAGTTTTGTGTATTTTCTCTGCCAGACCAGGTCCTCATCGTCCAACCAGTAACACCAACCCATCTAAGTTTGCGCAGAAGTTTGGAGGAGCAGACAAGTGCCCTCGCTGTGGCAAAAATGTCTATGCCGCTGAGAAAGTGATAGGAGCTGGCAGTGTAAGGGACCCACTACCCTCTAGTGAATACTCCATTACAGATGTTACAGGAGTCATTAGAGACAGTACAATGCAAGGGTACAATGTAAGGTCTTGTCTTGTGCTTTTTCATAGTCGTGGCATAGGAATGGATGTTTCCGCTGTGCTACATGTGGGAAAGGCCTAGAGTCCACTACACTAGCAGACAAGGATGGAGAAATCTACTGCAAAGGTACAGTTTATAAATTGGGTTACCTCACCACATGTCTACGTCAAACCCTGAATAGTCAGTTTTATTTAAGTCATAGGGGGGAAACAATATATGCATCTACCTATCTATCTGGCAGTTTGCATTAATGTTTTGAAAGAATTCGGTTTTCGTTCCTGGATGGCCAGGCCACGGTCCCTGATATGCCAAACAGAGCCTGCTTGAACACGTGTCACACCTGACAAAGGTCATCTGAGGTTTACAATACACAAAAGGCAAGGGCTAGATCAGGGGTGTCCAAACTTTTTTCATCAAGGGCGACATATCTAAAGACAGACGAAGCAGAGGGCCGATCGAGGGCCGTAGACTTGAGCTCAATACAGTGAATAACTAAAATATGTGCATGTTTAACACGTTAGAATGAATAAAGATTTATGGCTCATTCTAAGATCCTTAAAACCACACACTAAATATTAAATATTGGCTTTCTCAAGGTAGATTTTCAAAAAATCTTGCAGTAAAAAGTTAATTTTTAATTGATGTAAGGTAATTTGGGCCAATTCACCTGGAAGCCTGAGGGCCAAGAAAGATTTGTCTGAGGGCCGCATTTGGCCCCTGGGCCATAGTTTGGACATGCCTGGGCTAGATAAAGTTGTCCTTGTGAAAATATGTCCTAAAATTTACATAAGTCCAAAAATTCGACAGACTAATTAATTTTTAACACCCATTCTTGTTTGGTAATTAGCACACCTGGCTAACGTGTGCTAACTATCAAACAACAATGCTCACCTGCATGTGGAATAAATTCCTTGACTTTTTAATTAACACTATTTTACATCTTTCTTTTATTATGTTTACCAGACCACTCTGTCTTCATGATGATGAGTGCTTTTACCTGTTTGGTGTCTTTTTCAGGATGTTATGCCAAAAACTTCGGCCCTAAAGGCTTTGGTTACGGCCAGGGAGCTGGGGCTCTGGCGCACACCCAGTAGAGGGCAGCAAAGAGCGGAATGGACAGCAATGCATCTGATGGTCTGACTTTGTCAACCCTGCTTCTTCCTGCAGGGGGCAGCCTCACCAAATAAATAGGCCTTCCCACTGACTCACTAAATATTAGTAGTCTATTCTTAGAAATTCACTTTTTTTTTTTTACAGTATTATTGATTAAAAAATTATAATAATTTGTGCGTGCTTTTGTTTAAAAATATATGGCTATACTCATCTGGCAGTTGCAGATCTCCTATGTAAGTAATGGTATTTTAATTGTGGCATTATTACATAAGTATGTGAGAGTGAAACTTACCTTTGTTGTATGCATGAGGAATGCGGAAGTGCTGATGTGCGAAACAGTTAAAAGTTTCAAGAAATGACACAGGCTCATTGTCTTCATTCCTGTCATAACATCTCAGTGACACATGGGAATACAGTGCAGTAGGCCACCTGCAAACACAACTCCACCCTCAAAACAGTCCAGTAAATTCAAATCAGAGCTATGCACCTCTAAGCAAGATTCCTTCATCACCATAACTGAAGTTTCTATTACAGCCTTGATATAAAATCATATTTGTAGATATAAAGCACATTCTTAAATAATTATACAAATCATGTTGCTGTATCTAATCTTTTGAGCCTTTGCTACAATGATCTACCTAACATGAGAAAAACAAACAATAACTGTTTGAAAACTCACTTTAAACATTCAAGAAATTCACAACAATTCAGTTAAAATTTACTGAAGGTAGAAAAAGACTATAAAGAAAGCCTATAAAGATAATCTTATAGAGAATATGTTGTTGAGTGAGGTTAAATCTTGCCTAAATAGTTTATATTTTGTTGCACACAATAAGGAATATATACAATATTTTAAAACAATACAGTTAAATGTGTATTTATTTAATAATACTGTACATGGTTTGGAAGTACATATACAAATATAAAAGTGCCAAATCCTAAGCACCATTCAGTCAATCACAAGTGTATCCATCTGAGTAACACAGAGGAAAAAAGTGACCACAGTAAAGTGTCCTAAAAGAGGTGTACCTATAGAATATAAGATACAGGAGATGATCCAAGCAGCTCCACAACCTTCATGTAAAGAAATATAATGCTCATAGCTCTGCCAGAGAGGTCAATATATAACATGGAAAAAAACATAACATTATAGTAACATCAAAAATAGGCAACTGTTGAATCCACTTTGATCAACGCAGGATCCAGGCACCTTCCTTTTCCCATTGGTTTTCTTTGGCCATTCTGCAAGACAACAAGAACTCATTATGTCATAGTTGTTGTATATCATATAACATGGAAGCTATCACATTCTACAGGAGGCGTCAAACATGTCGACATTTGAAGTGTGTGAAGTTAATTTCAGCGCCTGACCGTGCCATCTGTCTCTTAAGGAAGCCCTGGATTCCAGGACTGTGAGCTCATAGTTCAGCCTTAACATTTGAGATTTCACTTACTAGGCTACTTACAATAAATAGTGCTGTTGTTGTCATATGATGGTCATTGACCACTGGTAATGAATGGATGAACTTCTGGCCCTTTTCCCTCAAATAGAAGCTTATTTCATTTTAGAGTAATTCTTTGTAGCAATATGGACAAACACTTACGTGTGGTTTAAAAATACTTGCTACTGGATGGAGAGGCAAGCAGATGATATGTTGTAAGCTCTTGTTGCACCATAAATTAATTATTAAAATAAGTTTACTACGTGGAAAAGGTCATAAGCCAAATCGTGCATATTGGTGGGCTGCTTGGGCATAGTAATTACTTACTAGACTGGCACTTGTGAGCTATGTGTCACCTTGATCCCAAGAGTCGGCTGTTGTCATTCCAATCTGTCAGTGCTTATACAGTTTTAATACTCATAGCCTAATGGACACTGTGTCAAACAATATTACACACAAATAGAGTAAATTATGTAAAACAGTCTAGATACAATATATTTTTTTATTAGTGCCATGCATAAACATCGCATAAACACAATCTTCCTGTCACTGAAGACGTATGTAGTCAGTGAAAAGTCTATTACAGAATGACATTCTATTTTATGGTGAGTGTACTAAACTGTACTTCAGTCATTATCGTGCCTACCTTGTCCCATCAGAGCTCCTGTTCTCCCCAGGTCCTCAGGTGTGCGGTGGACAGATGCCGGTTCTTTCCTGTCTGTACTGCTTGTAGGTTTTTAAACCGCACCAAAGCCAAGGCAATCTCTGCGTTCCAGGCGGTTCCTTCTTGTGAACATCTGAAGTCTATCTCTTTCCCCGTGGCCATAACCACCGTAAAGTACACGAGTCCTCGTTTATACTCCACACAGTCCACTGTAGTCATGCGCTCAAAGCGCAGCTCTTTGGCTTTTGAGCCAAACGCAACGCACGGAGCATCACTGTCTTCTCCGCTCCCGCTGTCCTTGCAATCGTGGAGACGGAGACCTTCCTCTGTCAGAATACAGCGCTTCTTCTTCCACAGCTGGAGGAGCCCACTGCTGCGCTTCTCCAACATCCCCTCGCGCATCACTTTAGCCGGTATAGACATGGTGACGAGCGGAGCATGAGCCAAGAGAAGGATCCATTCATTTCACAGTCCACGAAATAGTTAACACATTTTTCTGATAAAAAAAAATAAGCCAAGTCTATACTTCTGCCTTCATTGTGATAAGTAAAGCGGCAGACGAAGTGTGGTATAGGCTAAGTAGGCTGGTCTGCTTGGATATGTTAGAACATGCCCGGCTTCTGAAAGACCTTTCCCCTTTGCGCGCACCCCGCCTCCCAGTGACGGCAGAAGATCCGGGCTGTTTATCAGACAATGAACGTGAATGAGGATGTGCATGTGCTACAACGGTAGCTTCTGTTGGTTAGGAAACACCCTGTGTTTTGATGGGGAAACCTTTACACATCATTAGCCCCTAGCATGCCATCTGTTTTAGTTATACTGCCATTATTGAGCACTCAATATTAATGCAGCATTATATAGGGTCATGTGAACTGTAGCCAAACCTAATTAGAATATTGCACTAATAAAACATACATTCTGGTCACTGTATCATCCCACTGTATAAAATAATTGCTGCTATAGATGAGATTGTGGGTATGATGACAGGACATATACACACATCAGTCACTTCCTCTAGATTATAGGGCAGCCAGCGTTATAATAATAATAATAAAAAACAAACAAACATGTATTTAATTGTTTCAATTTTAGGCCAACCTGTTTATATGTACTGTGATTAAAAAGATCATCAGAAAATAATAGTTTATTCTCTTGAGTGCGTGCTTAAGTAAAAGCACCATCTTTCTCTGTGTTGTGTGAAGTCTGCATTAAACAAATGAGAAGCACAATAAGCATGAGGCGTGTAGACACAAACATCCACCTACGCACACTTACACACAGAAGCTTACGAGCACACCCAGCTCCAGTCATTCACGTTCATACACTGTTTTGGATTGGCATATGTTATTCACCTGTGTGTATGTGTGTGTGTATGTGTGTGTGCATGTATGTGGGGGTGCGTGCGTGTGTGTGTGTGTGTGTGTGTGTGTGTGAGAGAGAGAGAGAGAGAGAGAGAGAGAGAGAGAGAGAGAGAGAGAGAGAGAGATAGAGAGAGCTGGAGTCAGTGTAGTTATAGGGCTTAGAGCAGGTCAGGGATAAAAGGGCCGATTGTATGAGCACTTCTCCAGTTACTGTGGAAAGCCCCAGAGACAGCCACGCCACATGAGTCAGCACAGGGCCAGAGGAGAAAAAAGAGGAGAGAGAGATAGGGAGAGGGAGGGCAGAGGAAGAGATACCAATGGATACAATGACATAAGAGCAGTATATGCATAAAAGGAGGGAATCTGTATGTGAAGGACCGTAGAGATGTTCAAGAGGAGAGTGGTTTATTGAGATTCAGGGTGAATAATAATCTGGTCAATTTATCCAAGAATCCAATACACTAATATGGTCATGCACGTATTCATAAAAACTTAAATGCAGAAAGCACAAAGTATAGTACACCATTTAACTCATATGAGGTAGAGTGACCACTTGTACCTGTTTTGGACCATGGCTCTCATTCCATGTTTTTTTAGAGACTGTTTATCTATTGAAAGTGGTGGAATTTAACAAAGAAAAAGTAGTAAAGTAGTGCATTTAAGTAAAGGTATTTGTACATTACTAAAGTAAATTTAAAAGTGGATACTTTGCACTTTTACTCCACTACATTTTTTAACAGGACTGAAAAGATTATTATTATTGATTATTGTTTGAGACCTGCTAAAAAAATTGAGGGGATTTACTTTTTACATGTTCATAGTTTGTGGAAACAAAAATATACAAATAAAAACTACCTAGAAAAAATACAAAAAATAAATACAATTCTACAAATCTTAAACAAAGCCACCACATTTGAAGGTTTTTTAGATCTCAAAAACTGTGACATACTTTTTAGTTTTTAAGTACTTTTTGAGTACTTGTATAAAAGTACATTTTTAAACAGGTACTTTTATTTAAGTCCATTTTTTCATGCAGAACTTTTACTTTTTTTTTTTTGCTCCAGTATCTGTACTTTTACTTTTGCCAAAATCATCCATCACTGTTCACTGGTGCCACTTGCATTATATACATAGAAAACATATATAGAGACTTACTTAGAAAATATAACTTAAAAACATAACTATTCCTTAATAAACACCTTCTCTGAATTTTGACTTTGTGTATTCTGAATGTTGTGACCTATAGTGACCTAATAACAATGTCTCTCTATGTGTTATGTCTGTGTAATCCCTCAGTTGTCCTGGTACAAAAGAAATATTAACTCACTGTCAACAGGCCAAAGGTTTGGAGTGAATACATTTACCACTCTCTCTGTTTACAGTTAATAGCGGTTTATTTTAGAAACATAAATTTATCACGTCCGTTCAAACATGCACAACTTGTACCACTTTGGAGGGGTCACTATTAGTAGGTGCTAAAGCTGTTTGTGGAAATGTTTTGTTTCTTCAGAGAGTCTTCAAAATTGTTGTGGACTGAGTAAGATATTTATGATGTTTATAAAGAAAATGTGGGAGAATGGTAAAGTCTCACACGAGTTTAGTGAAATTGAGGGCAATTTAAAGAACCACACTGTCACATGACATTTAATTAACTGGTCAAGGGCGCTCTTTGTTTCCTACTGGCACGATAACAATAGTCTGTTTTTGTTCATTCATGAAACAAAACTAGACACGAAGCATTACATGAAAATGTGTAAAGGCAAAAATACTCAAATAAAAATGTTGTTATACTTATACTACACAAGTAAGGGGTGTAAAGAACTATGATGACTGCAGACAAACCCAGAGCGTCTTTGCTTAAACATGGACCATGGGAGGTAATTGAAATGCATTAGTGACCCCTTGTGGCTACTTTGACATCAACGTTGGTTGTAAAAATAAAAAAAGAAAAAGAAAAAAGGAAAAAAAAGAAAAAGCCTGTTCTGTTAGTGATCTGTTCTTTTGAAATCGGAATATATTTTGCCGTTCATAATGTATGTTATGAACATGTAGATAAAACTTTGTTCAAACACATTTTCAAAACTTTGTTTGTTTCAGTTTCGCCGCCAGAGGGCATGTGAATGAAGAATTTAGAATGCGTCGTCACTAAACTGGCTTTACTTCTAACTTACTTTTATGTAACTATGATTTTGCCTCTAACTTACCTTTATGTAACTATAATTGAATACGTCATTGTATCCGTGAAGCAACAATGGTAAGACAATTATTTATTTATTAGGTTTTCCACTATGTATCACTTGTACAAATTTAGATGGACCGTTTCAATTATTTAGGAATTTGACTGGTCCTGGTTGGTCTTTCATGGTCAGCCAACAGTTCAGCTCTAACTCTGTGTCTGTGGCTTTATCATAAATGTCGGGGAACAACTGGACAGAGTGAGATTAGGAGGCTGCAGAGATGGGGGTGCTAACAATAGCCCTCAGTGACAATAGAGAGATTGAGCCAAGGGTGGTGCAGTTAAAAGGGGAGACCCAAAATCACAAGAGTCATCCCAGTTTGCCCATCCTGATCCAAGCACTTTCTGAACACTCTTCAGAGACTGGTAAGTGCCCACCGGGATTTTAGTATATTGTGATTACATATTACAGGCAATTGTAATGTGTACTGAGACCTATTTCTTAATTCAATTGAATAATCATTTGCCATTTCACACCATTTCATTACTGCTTTCATCAAGCACAGAAGTGGCCTTTTGACTGCATCATGTTTTTTCAATAGGACTATTTCCTTTAGATTTTCTTGTCCGTTGTGACCACTCATCTGCTACAATGCTTTTAAACATGTATAGCATCAGGATGCTCTTCCTCGAACAATCTTCAGCATTCTGACTTGGAACTGGCAAAGACATCCATGAGGCTGGATTGTGCATTTGTTATTTAATAGTTTGTAAACTAGATTTAAAACCTGATTTTTGATGAATAAACCACACAATCTGCCTCATACAGTTATAAATTACAGGTCAGTTTTAAAGCCAACGTTCAAATTCCAGACAAGAACTTTCCAAAGCATGTTTTTAACCGTCGCTTTTTGATCATTGCCAAGTTGGCCAGAGCAGAAAGGCTCCAGAGCATCTCTGAGTTAGAGCTGTTAGTGCTAAGCTAAATCCCTGGTCCAGGCCTGGTATACCCCTGGAGCACAATCATCTCCAAGCAGCTGTCCATCAGATGTCCCAGGTCTATTTGGGGAGACAGCCCACTCGAAATTCCACCCCTAAAGATAATCCCACAGCGAAAGATGGGGATGTGCGGGCAGCAGGACCGGACCAGGGACGGCTATCAGGCAGGAATGTCCGTAATCCATGGCAGCCGCTTGTAACCCTGTTGTGATAGGTGATCTTGTGTGGGCATTATTCTGAAGCGGGACCTGGGTGATGGGGGTGAGAGTGAGGCGAGAGAGAGATAGGAGGGCCATTTGATGAGGTCAAATGAACAAGAGGTGACATAGGGTGATAATAATACAAAACACTTGGCACATGGAGTGACTGTGTGGTAAGACATGACACATCCGTCAAAGTCTTTGATTAAATCCAGCCACATGGAATGTCATCATTTGGCAGTCCACAATCCATACATGAAGTTTTAAGAAGACAATTCTTCAAAACAATATCTGTTGTGCCCATGATAGCTTATCATAATTGTGTTCATAATCATCATAATTTTTGCAGCTGATCCTATGCATGTACTTACTATGACATTAAATAGTTTAAAGCGGAACAGTCAGGCTGGTATTCACTGTATATTTAAGATTAACTGTGCTTCCCCCTGCAGATATTAACAGGATGCCAGAACAAGTGTAAGTGATTAGCCGCTGTTGTAGAATTATAGACCAAAAGAATAAAATGTCTAAGGTGTGCTTATCTCTCTGTTACAGGCATGAGGTAAGAGAAGTAATTTGTTTGTGGTTTCTGTAATTGAAGATTTGTACTCTGACAACATGTGAGCTTGTGCTCCTCCAGAGAAAACCAAAGATCTCTGCATCACGCAAGCTGATGCTCAAGGTAATCAAGTCAAATCAAGATACCGTATCATTCTGTATAGACCACATGGGAGCTGTAATCAACATTTTAGTGTAAAATAAATACATACATAGAGAATTTACATGTTGTGGCATTTGTGTTGCAGAGTTTGATGGTGGCCAAAGCTAAAGAGGAACTAGAACAGGAGGTGCTGGTGAAGGAAGAGGAGAAGCAGAAGTACCTGTCAGAGAGAGCTCCTCCTCTCAACACCAGCGGACTCAGTCTGGCACAGCTGCAGGTACACTGCGTTATGCAATGTTGTAACAAAAATAAATCATAAAACATGAGTACTAATGTGTTCAAAGATTTGCAGCTATAGCACCAAGAGAAAGCCTGAGCCAATCTTATTTTGGAAATTAAGCAGGGTTGAGTCTGGTTAGTACTGGTACGTGGATGGGAGACCACTGAAAATACCAGGTGTTGCAGCGGGGTGGCTGTGTGTGTGTGTGTCCGTAGGCAAGACACTTTACCTATTTTGCCTTATATGACTGTGGTGTGTCTGTGTAAGTGATTAGTGGTGATCAGGATCTAGTGGCATGGAATGGAAGCCTTACTTCTTCAGTCTGCCACAGGGCAGCTGAGGCTACAGTAGTAGCTTACCACCCCCAAGTGGAGTGAATAAATATTGCGTTTTGGGTCTTGAAAAGCATGCTGAAACAATCATGTTTATATTTTTACACTGTAGTGATTTAGAAGTCATTTTAAAATGTTACTCTATAGATACATTATTCGGAAAAGTACAAGTTACTCTCTGATTGTTAGGATCTGTGCAGAGAGCTTCATTCCAAGATTGATGTAGTCGATGAAGAGCGTTATGACATTGAGGCCAAAGTCATGCTTAACACACGTGAGGTAACAGATTTTTAGTCAGTGCACTACAGAAATGCATGTTTGCCCAATTCTGTAAATGCCTCTAAATTGTTCCAGATTAAAGACTTGAACATCAAGGTTTTGGACCTAAGGGGGAAATTCAAGAGGCCAAACCTGAGACGTGTCCGTGTGTCTGCCGACGCAATCCTGCGCTCTTTACTGGGCTCCAAACACAAAGTGTCTATGGACCTCAGAGCCAACCTCAAGTCTGTCAAGAAGGAAGACACAGAGAAGGTTTGGACATGGGCTACTATGTTGAATAGGTGATATACTTCCTAAAAGACTGAAAGACTGAATATGTTTATGAGTTTGTGAAAGGTGTGGTGAAGATACTGGGCTGCAGGGCAGTCCCTGTGTGTCTAGTTCAGGCAATGGGCACTCAACAAAGATCCTTTTGTATGAAGCTTTTAGTCCCGCTTGCTTCACTGGTCAGCCTCAGTGTCAGTACAAAATACTGTCCATTTAGGGGCTTAATCAATCTCCCTCATAATCACATTAAACACTGTCTCATTTGTTGTGTTCTACCATGTGATCATATCTCATGACCTCTTTTTGATGTGCTTTGAGCAGAAGAGGCCCGTGGAGGACAGTGACTGGAGGAAGAACGTGGAGGCCATGTCTGGGATGGAGGGCAGGAAGAAGATGTTTGATGCAGCCAAAGGCCCTGCACAGTGAAGTGTAGTTTCACACACAATATTAGATGCCACACACAGTGTCAACTTAGTGAAAGCAGTTAACAATTATATTCTATTATATTCATAATTAAGTGAAACATTAAAGTTAATATTTGTTCAGTGTTTGAAATGTTTGTGGCAGCTTTGAACACAGTTTGAACACAACTTCAACTTTTGTGGCAAAATATGGCACCAAGTACAATCACCATGGCTGTATTTTGTTTTAATGTTATATGTTTGTCATCTTAAAATTTTTTAATAATTAAAAAAGTTCTGCATGGGTAAAATAAAACATTATTAACAAGATTTTTTCATTTGAATGTGGTCTTAAATTATTTTGTGATTAATAAAAGTGTACTAGATCATTTTGTTGTCTTCTTTTATCACAGTTTTATACAGTTAACACCAACTTTATTCATAACTTGAATTAAATACTCGTGTAAGGCCAGTTTGTTCCCCTGTAAATCCTTAATAGGTTTACAGGGGAAGATTAAAATTCTGTTAGGGGTATAATTTGGGCTTAATGACAGCTCAGTGCCAGAAGATTAAATAAGGTGTGAAGTAACATGATACAGTAATATTTGTGTATTACATGAGCTAAATTGCACATTGGATGTACATCAGTCAAACATTTACAACTTCCTGTATTTCAGGTATAAGAGATCAATAGATATTTTATTACTGCTTTCCCTCTGAGGTCAATGTTCAGCTGTAAAATAGTTTTGCATGACCATTTTATTGTTGCAGCTAGGTGTCATACCACTGAATATTTATTCAGAGTCAAATGTTCACCTCAATAAAAACTTCAGTGAATAGAATGCATAAGCAAAATATGCTAAACTCAAGTTCAACAAAAACGTCTGAATATTTTTTTTATTTTATTTTTTATTTTATTTTTTTTCCTTTAGTGAATCATTTAGTATCTGTACCCACCTCTAGAGGCTTCAGCATGCTTGAGCTTATAAGGGACTTGTAACAAGCCAGGTGCATGTAGGGAAATTTTAAGGGTCAGAGTCCGGTAGATATGCTACCACAGCTGACTACAGATGAAGGGTGTAGTCTCTCAAAGTCGCAAACAATGAATCCAACTGTGCACATACAAAGAAAGACGCCATGCATAAAGTTATTTACAAGAAGAGCCGCTGTTATGTTTGAACCTGTCTGTTTCCATTTCATTTGGCTGCTCATGTTCCTATTTCCATTTTAGACAACAATACCCACTGTATTTTTGTTATTTTGTTGTTAAACAATTTTAATCATCGTAAGAAGTGGGAATTTTTGACCAATGAACGCCTCAAATTAGATCATATCTTCCCCTCCAATGGTAGTCCATTAGTGTGTACGGTGTCTATCAGTCTATTAGTGTGTCTAAACTTGGAAATGGTTATGATACAAGGCTATGTTTTTTTTTATTTCAATAGCAGTATCCTGTAGTTAATGCAATCATGACCCTAAATGATCAGTGACAGCTTGACTCTGTCCTTTGAGCTGTTCACAAAAGGTAAAAGTGTGCAAATGTTTCCTCAGCATGATCATTGTAGCCTACACATGTGTGTTAGTATAAGGGCAAACTGTTTACTTGTAATATTGCACACATTAAGACTGCAACACGCACCCAAATTTCCACATGTAACGTTAATCTAACAGAAAGCACACAGTCTCCTCTTCCCTTTTTGGTCGTGCGGGTGAGCCTCTTACCTGAGCTCGGCGGTCACGTGACTCAGCAGTAAACGCTGGGGTAAAGGTGCTCTACAGTCGCTTCACTGCCGCCTTCAAAGTGCCACTCGACTTTCTCTTTGGGCTGTTTCCTGCAACTGCTGGACCCTACTTTTAATTCAAAATGTCCATCAGTCGGAAAAATTGGTCGGCATTGTCCAGGTAAGGCATAAGATTTTTATTCCAAGATTCCAATGTTTACTGGATAAGTAGCGTTTACTGTCTCTTCTGCATTTAAACAACTCGTAATTGCAATAGGTCTGGCCGATGTCATGTGGCCTATTACATTTAATGATGTTCACTAACCGTGATTTTTACTATTAAACGAGAACAGACTACTGTGTTCTTATTGCAGTGAAGCATACAGCAGGCTAAAAAAATATATATTTTGGCAAAAGGACACAAGAGATACAGACCAGACCACTACTGTTTTTCTTTCGACTATTAATAAGATGTAGTTAAACGAGTACAGCAGGTTTTTGTTATCACCGTTATAAGAGTAATCTTACTGTGTACACTTCACTTTAATTACAGGTGTGAAAAAATTAAACATTACATAATTTTAAGGTGTGCTGCATGGGTCTGTTGTTGCACTTACTGTCTAAAATATCTTGCTTCTCTGTCTGTGGTCAGTTTGGCTCAGCGCTGGACCATGGAGGATGAGGAGGAGGTGGAGAGAGAGAGGAGAAGAAGGGTGAGGGGGTCGAGCTCCTCTGCTGACCCTGATAGCGTTAGGGGTCCAGAGCATCAAGAACATGGAGAGAAAGGGGTCAGCCATGGGACACCTACGGGCGATCAAGGTCTCAGCAGGTCTGTTTTATTATTCAAAAACAGGTTCGGGGTAAATTAAGGTGCGCTTAATGTCTCCCTAGGGAAATAAGTCCTTTGTCCTTTAAAACATGTAGCAATCCAAGTGTTATTTAACAATGATGTCTTTGTAGCAAATCAGATATAACGCAGGTCTAAGCAGGGTTAATTGTTACAGTCTTAATTATTTTAAGGCATTTCCCGATAAATATACTGTTTTGTTTTGGGGGTTTTTTTACCTCTTTTTTGCTTAGTCTTCATCGTGGTTTGTAGCTACAGGGTACATTTAACTCCTCTTCTATAAAAATTCACATTTTTGAGGTACGATTACATGAACATAGAGGGACATTATGACATGGACACTTCTGCCCCACGGGACTGTGTCATGTGTATCCATTTCTAAAGTGTGAAAAATGTCGACCTGAGATCCGATATAGTCTTCAAAGAAACAGTTTACATTGGCACAGTAACTAAATCTGAGGCCTACAGTGGAAGGCTTTTACAAAATAGCTATAATGTATAATATTCATGGGTCAGGCAGCACATTTTGAAGTATTGATGGGTAATGACATGTGTTGCCTGCCAAATATTTACTTTATTTATAACACACCTTCTTTAGGAACTTATTTGGTATTTTGTTAGACCACATGCGAAACTCCATGTACGTATTTCCTGTTTTTTTTTAGACTTGGATCATGATATCAATTTTAACACAATTCTGTGTTAAAGGGGTAATAATATGTCTTTTCTGAGACTCTGCACTTCACTGTGACTGGTTAAATCCACCGCTTACTAACTCACCCATGGCTGAGGCTGTTTAGTAAGGGGAATCGGTGGAAAAAAGTGTTTGTTTGGTTGTTTGTTTTTTAACATAGGGCAGAAATAAACAGAGAATTACAGAATCAGATGACAACATCATAAAAACAGCATATTGTCACAGAAATCACTTTACAATTAAATTGTACTGTGAATTTGCCCAGCCCATCCTACCACCAAGAGATTCCATGATGGAGAGTCTGCAGTTTCAGCTCTTGGTACTGTGACAAAAAATGAAATATGGTCATATGGTCTTATATTAATGATGATGAAGACCAAATCCATTCTAATATTATCATGAGAAATCCAAACTGCAAATGTGTTTGTATCTGTACCTGCTCATATTAGTATCAAGCTCAGATCATTTTTTTTGGCATGGATTCTTTGACAAGCCAACTGTCATAAATTCACATTTTGCCTGATGCGAGTATATGTGCTTACAGTGTGGAGCAGATGCAGCTGGACTTTGTGGAAATGCTTCGGTCCCGGGACGAGAGGCGGAGGATGCGTCACGTGGAGACCTTAAGGAAGCAGAAGGAGGTGGTGGATGATGCTGATGATCAAGGTGCTGCAGAGCCCAGAGTGGAGATACTGGGAGACGTTGAGGAGACCAGCACTGCCACAGTTTCTCAGACTGGAGTCCACACATCTAAACCTGCCCAGCCGACTACAAGAGTGACACCCCCCCAAGTAAGCATCAGTAGTGAGACCAATCCCAGCAGCAAAGTCACACAAGTAACACCAAAGAGGGAGGTTTAGGCATCACAATACTCTATTGGCATTAATATTTATTTATGAATGTGATGATTTTGTGTTGAAAAAGCTAGTTCAAGTTCCTAAAATTATGATCATAATAATGCCTTAGTCTTATATAGTACTTTTTCTAGAAACTCAAAGTCGATGATCAGGTTCAACATGTGACTTTTCCTAGGATATGTTAAATACCATGTAATTAGTCAGAATAACTGGTTCTTGCCCCCATCTAGGAGTGTGACATCATCCCATTTTAGAATCTGATGACAAATACAGGGCAATGGGATGACGTCATTTACTCCACACAGAGACATGTTAATTATTGAGGAAAACATGCTTGATATGGCAAATTATTTTACTTTTAAATTGATATTCACAGTGCATTTAAGTTAAAAGGCAATAAAATACATGTATAAGTGTAACTTATTAAGAAAAATTAACTTAATAGTGCACTGTGTAACTTTTCTGGTGGAGGATCCACTGCCTGCTTGTCTCCTTGGAGATGCTACCACTTTGCTTGGATTATTTCATAATATGGAAATAAATTTGGTTATCACAATGGGGAAGTTAAAGGTCAGATCTATGGAGAAGAAAGCCTGCACAGAGTAAGAACTCGTGTTTTTCAAGGTATTTTTGAGCTATAAAATACCTGTAATTGAATAAATGCAAGATAGATATGTTTAATGCCATACTGTGGACATTCCTTGCAAAACATAACATCACTATGGAGACAAGCAAACACCTTGGATGTTACATAATGCACCTTTAAGTAAAACTGACCACCTTTAGATTTTGTACCAGTAATTCCTGGACTAAATCCATGGCAATAATAAATTATTTATCAGTAAATTAGATTTTCATTCTGAATTACAATCTTAAAACAATATGAAAACTTGCTCTAAAGGTTTGCATAGTTTTTGCAAATACATTGAGCATGCAAACCATCCCCAAGCCCTGATAAGAGAAACTGTAGACTACATTCAACTTCAATCTTTTTATTACACACCTGTACTTACAGTGTATGGTTAAGCAACAGTAGGAGTGGCCCTGTACAAAAGCCTGTGTGCTCATAAATAGTCTCTTCTGTTTCTCTCTTTGTTAGTTTGAAAATGGAGCGTCATCATCCACTGACCATGATCCACCAGCAGCAACAAACCCGGCCCGCAAGTTTGTCAGGTTGATATGGTCTTTATTTTGTTCAGCATGTATTAGAAAAGGATTATTGTAAGGCAAACATGTCTACAGAAATGTAAAGTCTATAATCAGAGGAATAGTAAAATAACACACTATAAGCTTCTGTAAAAGTCTGTCATCAATAGACACAATGACATTTATTTAGTAATAGTACAAGTACTGAATGACTGATGATGGTATTCAAATCCAGCATAGCATTTAGGCAACAGAGGAAATCAGCATCTTTCTAGTAAATAAGAACAAGAACATATATTAAAAGATAAAACAATAAATCATAGCTTATATTATATAAACAACTTTATGCCTATATTTAGACCTATATTACACTATATTCTGATCTGTTATAAGTTTTAGATTTGTTTAGTTTAGAAAACTTTATTTATCTCCGAAGGGCAATTCTGTTTGCAGTCACAGAGTACAGCATAAAAACACAAACATATAGCAGTTCACACAGGTCAGGTGCTCGTACAATATAGACATCAGAGCTGGGAAAATGAGGCATAAAGTACAAATGTGGCACAAGTGCAAATGCCAGATACAAAACAGAACTTCAACATTAAAAAAATAAACAATAAGATAAAAAATTTAAAAAAAGGATATTGGCTATGTCTATTTCACCTCTGTGTGTTTAGGATCTGAATGGCAGAAGGAATAAAGAAATTAGCAAATCTATTAGTTTTTTGCTGGGGGCAAGGTAGCACCTCCCAGAGGGCATCAGAGAGAACTTTTCCTTTAAAATGTGGTCTGAGTTGCCAATAATACACCTGCCTACAAACAGAACAGACTCCAGGCACTCCAAAACAGTAAAAAGTTAACACATCGCACGAGGAAAAATATAGTTAAAAGGCCTTTATTTGAATGGCCAAAGCCAACATGTTTCGACCTTAACTTGTCTTCATCAGGGCTTAATGGCAATTAAGCCTTTTAACTATATTTTTCCTCGTGTGATGTGTTAACTTTTTACTGTTTTGGAGTGCCTGGAGTCTGTTGTGTTTGAGTTTTGATCCTTTTTTTCCAAGAGCACCCTCTACTTGCTCCTACTGATTGGAACACCTGCAGCAAACAGCCACATTTTTGTTCTTTCAATACACCTGCCTACTCCATAAAGAGTTGAACTTATCTGCACACCTATTATAATGCTGCTGCTCATCAAAAACATACCTGGAGTTGCATTTTCTTTCATTCTCACATGTTTAACACAGTAACCCTGCATATTTAGGTTCTTCGCTCAAACATGAAACACTCCACAAGGTTCCACCTTGTACATCACATGTGGTAGTGGACAAAATCTGCTTTTAAGATCTATACGTCTTCACTAGAATCATTTGGATCATTTCAGCCCTGGCATTGCTAATCTCTACTAAAAGTAAAAGGTTAAAGGAGCTGTTAACTTGAAAACTACAATTACATGTCATCACAAGGTGGAACAGAGCATTTTGAGTTTTGGAGATGTAGACAGACTAATAATAAAGTATTATTCAAACATGTGTGAATGAAACAAAACACAACTCCAAGTATGTTTTTGAGGAGATGTCAGAATTATAACATGACTAAAAGCTCACAGGAGTCAATTTTGCATAATATAGGACCTTTATTAGTGGTGTTGCAATTGTCCTGGTCTAGGCTTAATTTTGTTCCAGATGGAAGACAGACTTACCTTGTCCAAGTATTTCTCATTTTGCCATCTCTTTCTAACCCAGTGTGTGTCTATCTGTATTTTGTGGTATAGTTCTGTGTCCATCTCACTTGACAAGAGTCCTTCCACAAGTGGTCGATCAACTCCCATGAGCCCTCGCTCTCCTACGACTCCTCACTCACCACGAGAAAACTGGTCTGCATCAAGAGCACCTCCAAGCCCTGTTCAGAACGGACACACACAGCAGGTACAAACCTATATTATCTGTGGATGTTCAATACATGGATTGTTTGGTGTAGTCAATGGCATTCACTACATTTCTTGGAGTTGTCTAGAGTTATTTTATTTATTAATTTTTTTTATTTGTTTTGTTTTCTTTATTTTGTTTTGTTTCTAATATGAGAAATGTTTCAATGTCTGATATATTTCCCACACAGTTCCTACTAGTAATCAACTAACTACCTCAAATATAATGTTAAAAAGTTGAGAACATCTCCCTCTTGTGTCTGAAGTGTGACTTGCATTTCTCTGTAGCCTTAAATTAACATATTTTCTCCATCCTAGAACACTGAAAATGGCTCATCTAAATTTGAACCAACATCTAAACCTGCATTTGTCAGACAGAGTTCCAGGACCATCTCTTTCAGGGTAAAACATGTATAACACAATGTTTAACAGATCATTATTATCAATAACATACTTCAGCAAGTCTGTAGTAGTCCAGAAGTCTAACATGGATCATGTGATATTTATATTTATTCATGTATTCCTTTGTGGTGGTTATGTTCAACTGTTGCTTATGCCACTAAAAACACTTGAATCTTATTATTTTCTCTTGTCTTTTATGCTAAAAAAAAAAAAAAAAAGTTGATGAAGAAGAAGGAGGAGGAGACTTCCCCACTGCAGCGAAGGTAAACAGTCACTTCTGAGCATATTGAGCATATTTCCCATTAATTCAGTGACTGTTTTGTGGATGTTGTAGTGCAAGTGTGAGGATTGCTTCCAAGAAGTTTGAACAGAATACAGTAAGATATAATATACTGAAATATATACTATGTACTGAAATATACTGAAAAAGTAAAATAACTATGCTTTGAATAATATAATATCGTTGTTGTTGTTGTTGTAGGAGCAAAGTCCAGAGGTAGATACAGCATCATCATTCCAAAGAAAGTGAGTCAGCGTTGTGAAACTGCAACAGTACTATGTTTTTACAATATATGAAAAGCCATATATTCCAATAATAAAATGTAGTATATATACTGTACATGTATAGAACATTTTTTGCTGTGGTGCTTACTACCTCTTTTTGCTAAGCTCCAGGCAAAGGATTTCCTCCAGGTCCATTCAGGAGAAGATGGAAAGACTGGCCCAGGCAGCTCAGGTTTGCACACAAACTGATGCTTATCATATTATTTTATACGTACCTCACAGTCTCCTCTGTGTGTGTGTTTGTGCGTGAGTAGAGGTCAGAGATGGTGCGCTCCCCGGATGTGTCCCAAAAGACTCTGTCTATGATGGAGGAAGTGTCCAGAAAGAGAGGCCTGTTTGAGCAGCAGCAGGATCAGAGCCAGGCCAGCCTTGTATTCAGCAAACAGGTACTCACAAACATGTACTTTATCATCATTATTCATGCATTTATTTATCTGGCATTAACTTTGTCAGATAATGATCAGATTTTTGGTGTGCATGTAAGCATAGCTAATATTGATCTTGGTGTGTTATAGGACTTTAGAATCATCAAAACTGGAATGACTGAGAGGATCAATAAGTGGATGAATAAGAGGAACCAAACTGGATTGTCACATAGCCCCGCGGTGAGTGAATTCTATTGTTATAATCGTTTCAGTGTCCACTAGAGGGCAATAGTACTCTTGTAACAGTAGACTTGGACATATACTTGCTGATTTTATGTTATTGTATGTAATATGTGTGAATAATGTATGCATTATGTGTATATGTGTGTTGCTCTGTTTGTGGTATGTATTATGTACTGTGTGTATGTATTAACCAATTGAATGTAAAAATAAAGAAATTATTTTAAAAGTAGTAATTTCTTTCTTAATTAACTTCCTTGTAGGATTTGAGGCATGTGGACATCAGCAGTAAGAAAAGCCTTTTTGAGAAGAAAGCTGAAGACTCTAAACCCAGCTCTGGAAAAATTTGATTCAGTAAGGATAAGTACTATTGCAATACAGATGAAAACTAATTATTATTGTGTCATCAACTTTAAAGTATAAACTACAATAAACATCTAAAATATTATTCTTTTTAAAGTTTTCAGATGAGCTTACACCATGGAAGAGCAGAAGGAGGCGGACTGATTGTTGCTTTAAACTTTTGTATCTTTTTGTGCACTCTGAAGGAAAAGGCCCTACATGGGTGAGAAAGCTTTTGTTATAAATTTACATTGCTACTGAAAAATTATTGAAGACTAAGTTTGTTTTTGTTCAAATTTATGAGCTCTGTGACTATGCTATGTAATTTAAGCACTTTAAACCGGTGATGGTTATAATGTGATTCAACAATAAAATGCTAGTACATTGTCTTTTTCCCAGTCTTCTCTATGAACTGGTCCTTGTGTGTACAAAAACTGCCTGTTGAAGGAATAAATGTTTTTGAACATTTGTGGTTCATTTGAATCTATTTTAGCCTGACTTATCTCAGTGTGGAGAGTGAATGCCTGCGCTGTGTCAGTGTCTTATCAAGCCATGGTTTACCTATGTATCCATATTAGGGCAAGCTGATAAAGAGCACACATTATCTCAAAGTTATTTATACCACAACAAGAGGTCCAAAAGATTTTGTCCCACCACATTTGTCCCCCTCATGCTCACAAGGATTCCAGTGCTCCAGTGAGGTCTGCTAGCTGCTTCAAGGTTTCTACCTCTCCTTTCAGGTTAGTTTATTTTTCAAAAGTTCTTGAGTATTTCCTATCTTTACCAAAATAGGCTCTTGAAGAACAAAAAAAAAATAAACATCAAAATCAAGTAATATTTTAAATTATGAAATGCTACAATGAAGAATCAGTAACATTGTTAACAGTACCCTTTTCAATTATTGTTCCAACTGGAGTTTTTATTTGGGTCTACAGTATCCCAGAACCATGTCAGACACAGAGGAAGTGGTGGAGGAGTATGAAGAGTAAGTCACTATTATTTTTTAAACCTTTGGCCATAAATTACATACAGAACTGGTTATTACAAGCTGATATGTACCAAGTCCTTACATAAGAAACCATATGAGCACATCTTTGTTTCTCTAAGATATTGACAGCCTGCTTTGTGTGTCCTTTACTGTATGGAAAAAGTCATGTTCAGGTGTATGTTTTTTACAGGGAGGTGGAAGGTAAGACCTGTTCGAGCCAGCGCACACACAACAAGGACTTCTCAGACTGCATCACAGAGAGTATACTCCCTCAGTATACTGAAGACTGCAAACATGTTTGGGGTCAAACTCAGGACTAACTGTTTAATCAGGATTATGTTAACCTAACAGTTAAGTTCCCACAGAGAAAATGATTAAATTACATTATAAATATTCTACTACAATTAGGATGGTAAATATTAAAATCTCTAAGCCTGTAAATGGACTGTGCAAATCTAATGACTAAACCTGGATTAATCCAGACCTCATTGCATGGTTTTATGACCTTATTCAAAAATGTAAACTAATCTTAGTTTAGGAAACATTATTGCTGTGTGACTTTGGCACAGTTGCAGCAGTTACACATGGCAACGCCCACCTCAACAATTTGAGTTTGACTTGGACTTCCTACTGATTGCAGAATTACTTTCCAGCTAAGAGAGGGTATAAAAACTTTTTTTTTTTTTTTTTTTTTTTTAAATCTATTTAAATTTTTGATTCAGTAACATTGAAATAATGTTTGTTTTTGATGGTGCCTTTTGTTTTTAATAAAGGAGGAGAGGAGGAGACAACTGAAGGTATGTGACATTATACAGAAAAAATAAAAAAATATATAAGCAGCTTTGAAACAGTGCACTATATTAACACTACATACTACATTATATTTAAATACTGTATCGCTGAAATAAAGCAGGTGTGAATTTCTTTCTTTCAAGCACATGATAATACCATTGCAGCTTTTTGTTTCTTAACTACCAGTGCAGTTTGATGTACATTACCTGTTATAAGATCGCTTTATTTATATCATTTGCAAACTAAGTAATATATCACAGAAATATGTTAAAATGCTCCTATCAAATCCAAAACTGAGTAATCAAATACATTTCACAAATAAGATCCATGTGGGTAAATCTATTGAAACTATCTAGTTGCTTTACCCCACATAATAAAAGGAAAAATCTGGAAGAATATCCTCTTGTGGTGAATGCTATCAGTGTATCTGTGGTTATCAACACATTTTACATGATTTATAGTTTGTTTTTTGTTTTTTTACAGCCCGATGTTATCACACTTTAATAATACTGCATTTATCTTTCATTTTTCCATGCATATTGCCTAAGTCCTTGTTTTATGCATTCTTGGCTCAGTCTTCTGTGTGTTTTATCAACAGGGGATCAGGAGGTAGAGGAGGCCGAGCACCCCGAGGAGGCAGAGCAGGAAGGTGAGACTATAGGGATTGTGGGTTATCAAGCCCCCCAGGATTGTACTCTGGGTTTGTTTATTCATGTTAATATTACTCAAATACATTAACCAGTTTATCCTTGTTTATTTTCATTCAAGAAAAACATGCATTGTCTATACTCACTTTGAACATCATGAAGATAAACCTTTAGCTGTTAGTCAAGAGTAACAGGATTTGAAATGAAAATGTATGTCAAAACTGCTTTGTACATGTAAAAAGATACTCTATTCGGTTATCTGTATGGTTAGCGTCAGTGTGTGAACTACAATAATAAATACCAGACTAAAGAATAATTACTTCCACAAGACATGTCAAGGCTGTTATCAGAAGATCAGGTTACTTACTAAAAACCTGACTCAACAAAATCTGAGTGCTTAACCGTCCGTCACGCTGACAGGGTGTAAAATGTTGACTAAATCACTATGGTTTCTACATAATTTGGCAGTATATCAGGCTTATGGCAGTATTTCAGTCTCTAAGGCATTTTAATTCAAAAATCCCGTCTTATGTCATAACACATTTATACTCATTTTGGTTTCAGCAATTACATAAATGTTCCTTTTAAAGATGCACTATGTAACTTTTCTGATGGGAGGTGTGCTACCTGTCTGTCTCTAGATGATACAGCTTTCCATGAAATGTTCCAGTAGCATTAACAAGATCTATTCTGTGTTTACTTGGTTTCATATGTTTTTGTTGTTACCTTGAAAAACATGTCTTATTACTGAGAGCAGGATAGCCTCTCCATAGATCTGACCTGTAACTGAGCCAGGTGGTGTCTTGTCCTCATGGAGTTAAATACATTTAATGCCATGCTGTGGGACATCTTCATGGAGACAAGCAGGTAGTGGACCCCCCACCAGATGTGTGATAATAATTTTTTGAAACAATAAAGTAGTTCCCAGAAGAAAGATTGCAAATAATATACGTACATTTTAGTCCATATAAGTGCATTAGCATTTCATCAAAAACACCACTTTAAAGACCAAACAAAGAAAAACAAACTGTCAGAGTAAATTCATCTTAGTGTCATACTATATCTCTAAACTAGTTGTGAAGGATTTTAACTGTCAATCACTGTGAGACATCCCGGACATATAATTGTGGCAGCACATGGGATTTGAACATTTGTCATTTTTCTTTTTCATAAGTGATGACAGCTTGTTCTGAAATGTAGCTCATGTTTATATTTAAAATGAAAGTGTCTTGTCATGTGATGATGAAGACTGTAATAGATGTATTATGAATTACAAGGAATAGTATAGTTTATAATAATGCTGCACTTCAACATCTGCAGTGTAGTTTTACTTGTAAACTCTTCTAATGATGTTATTTAAGCTTTGTCTCTCCTGAGGTAAGCTCTCTGAGGTTTACCTCCAAAATGTGGCATCATTGGCACTCCTATCTGTACACTGAATGGGAATAGAGATTACAATATTGCTTCTATGAAGAAATAAACTCACAAGTGAAAACAGAAAGTTCTCGACTATTCAGACTGAGATCAGCAGATTTGGCAGGACGGCCCAGGTGAATGAGATGAGGGTTAGCGCAAGAATAAGTGAATACAAGTCTGCATGTGACTGGTACTTCCCATAAGACTGTGAGTCACTGGCCCTGTGATTGATATAACTGTCACTAATGTGTTACTTTATTGTTGTTTGCAAAAGCCCCTGAGGAAGAAGAGACCGCTGCTGATGAGGAAGAAGAGGAGGTCAATGAGGAAAACGGTGAGAATCGGCATAACTGTAATATTTAAAACAAGAAAACACGTGTCTACCACTCCTGTGTGTCAGTTAGTACATAGTCATTGCTTATTCAGGGCCCCACAACATTCTGGTATGAGACAGTCTTAGGTCTGCCTTAGTCATTCCTCAGTCACTATAGTCTGGTTTAGATAGGCTACCTCCCAGTCCTCAGGCTTGATTCCATTGTTCTGAGCAGGGATTATCTTTTATACCTAATTATACGGTATTATATTATGAACAATTTAGGGAGGGAAATGGTTCGTCCTGTATATCACCTTTAAAAAAAATAAAACAACAAAAATAAACAAATGACAATTGTATTTTATTAGTAATACTGTCAGTTTAGGAGTAGTAGTAGATTTGCCTGGGTTCCATCATTCTGGATTCGTCAGTACTATTACCATAGTTTATCATTTCTCAGTTATGAGTATAGTTAACTTTATTTATCGTTAAAGGAAAGTACAAGAAATAAATGAAATTAGTTTACTCCATTATACTTTGGAGGCTGGTTAGTGACTGGTAAGGCCCATGCATTTGCACAGGATGTCTCTACCAGGAAACAGCACTAAAAATAAAGTATGAGTTCAAATCACAAACACTTGTAATTTGTCTGAACATTTTTACAGCCTCTGTGTATGTCTGCAAGGGTGCAGGGCTGGATGTCACGAAGAGGTCATACATACTTAGCCTATAGGAATGTGCTTATTATTACAGAGTGTCACTTGTGTCGAGAGCTGAATGACCAAAGCTACAATTCACGTTCAACAAGAAAACTGTTTATTTTGGAATGTTGGGCATACTTCCTGTAATGTAAACTTAAATTGTTCAAAATGAATACTGACATATATGTAGGAGAAAAAATACTTCTCAAGTTGTTGCTTTAGTAAATCAGTTAATATAAAATGTGCTGATTATTTCAGATGGTGATGCCGAGGATGGAGACGGTAAATGTCACTTTTGAAGAATTCTAAATCCATAACTCACGTTCTGTACTAAAACTATTATTGTTTTTATGCAGGCGAAGAAACAAAACCAAAACACAAGTAAGTATTACGAATAGAGGCAAACCAGTATTATTTTATTTTTTGCATTTAAACCCAAAATACATCATGCTAGAATACATGATGATGTGATGTAGTGTAAAAATATCACATGGAAGCTGACTCATAAACTTAGTGTTAGTTTGTTATTGTTGCGCATATAATACATTCATAGCAAGTCATTTACTCATTCACTCATCTGTGCTGCCTCATTTACTTTCCAGACCATTTATCATGCCCAACCTGATCCCTCCGAAGATCCCTGATGGTGAGAAAGTGGATTTTGATGTGAGTTTTAAATATGAATTGATGTATTTTTTCCTTTACAAATACAAAATGGCCTCTTATAGTTTTTGAACAAACATGCTCATACATGCAGGTGACTCTTGGCTCTCCCCTTTCTGCAGGACATCCACCGCAAACGAATGGAGAAGGATCTGATGGAGCTCCAGACTTTAATTGAGGTCCATTTTGAAGGCAGAAAGAAAGAAGAGGAAGAGATCATTCAGCTCAAAGAAAGAATTGTAAATATGAAACTAGTTGCACAGTTTAAGTTGTCAAAAATTGCTGGTACTTATTGAGTTTTGTTTTGTGCAGGACAAAAGACGGTCAGAGCGGGCAGAGCAGCAAAGAATTCGCAATGAGAGAGAAAAAGAGCGACAAAAACGACTTGAGGTAGATGTATTTCATGACTATAGTCACTAACGGGCAACCAGGTCCATCCCATATGGACTTGGACCTATAGGACCTTTTAGCTGCAATTTGAAGGTGAAGTGGCAAATTTAAAGTGCAGCATCTCGTCCACAATATCCATAGAAATTGTCCTCTGCAAATAATGACATCCAGCCCAGAAAACCACACTGTCAATCCAGTTTGAAGTGTTAAAAGTAAAAAGGTAAGAGTAGCTCCTCACGTGTGTCTGTTTACATCCACACAGAGCACGGATCGAGGTGAAGTTGCAGATTAGTGATAGTGACTCTACTTCCTGTGAACTTTATTGCCAATATTTATGCTTTAAAAATCATGTATCTGAAGTACTGCACCAACAACTTTATATCCTGTGGTCTGCAGACAGATTCCGCTGCCATCTTTGCAACTGGAGATTTTAAGTCTCATTAGAATCTCCTTGTGTCTGTGGGTGTGCGCTTTTTGTCGCACATTTAAAAATAGTTTTAGACCAAAAAATTCTGACCCTACTTAGCCAATGTTTTTAAGTTGTAATTTCATTAATTTGACCATCTATTGTTCATACATTTAGACATTTATAAAACTAGGCTACTTCTGTATCACAATCATAACATTAAACATTATGAAGTCCCGGATCTCTGCTTGAGGAGATTTTCTCTAACTGGACATCCTCAAATTTTAGTTGAATACCCCTGCTATAGGCCTATCTCACCTGTTGTCTAACCTCAGAAGCAAAGCAAGGCTGGGCCTGGTTAGCACTTGGATGGGAGACCACTTGAAATGCCAGGTGGAACAGCAGGGACTCTGTCCTGCTGTTATGTTCTTAGGCAAGACACTTCACCTGACTGTATGAATGTTAGGTGTGTGTTGGTGATGATCAGAAGGACCGATGATTATTAGGGTTAGCAAGTTACAGAGAAGATTGGATTATGTAATTGACTGATTGATGATTGATATTATAATATTATTATTATATCATATTGATTTTGTTTGTTTACTTTTTTTTTTTTTTTTTTTTTTGTGACCATGCTATTTGTGGCCATGCTAATTGCTATTAAAACTAAGTGCACCAAGGGAGTGTGACATCACTCACAGCTTTCAGCTCCATAAACTCATGATGCTAGCAGTGACAATTTTTCAATGTACTCAGTTGGAAAGTTGAAGGAGCTAGAAGCGCCCCTATGAACACTTGGGAGGCTGCAAGCAGGCCAGCTACGCCTATTTATATATACAGACTATGGATTAAACTGACAGGCCTTTTTACATCATTGATATCAGTAACCCACTATTACATTTTTCTGCTTCCTTATTACATACAGTGAAGACTGGGAGATGCTCTGTCAAGTCAACATAGTTTGGTCCCTGTCAAAATTAAATTTGTCCTTTCATTGGCCAAATGTTCACCTTCTGACAGCCTTTGAGGACAAATTGTTAAACTGCCTCATGAAATCCTTGCCTCAAGTGGAGAAGCTCAAGTATCTCGGGGTGTTGTTCACGAGTGAGGGGAGGATGGAGTGTGAGACTGACAGGCGGATCGGTGCAGCTTCTGCAATGATGCAGTCGCTGTATTGGACTGTTGTGGTGAAGGCGCTGAGCCGAAAGGCAAAGCTCTCGATTTACCAGTCAGTCTTCATTCCTGCTCTCACCTATGGTCATGAGGTCTGGGTAATGACCCAAAGGACAAGATCGAGGATAAAAGCAGTTAAAATGCGTTTCCTCTGCAGAGTGGCTGGGCGCTCCCTTAGAGATAGGGTGAGGAGCTCGGAATAGAGCCACTGCTCCTCCACGTCGAGAGGAGCCAGTTGAGGTGGCTCGGGCATCTGTTCTGGATGCCTCCTGGGCGTCTCCCTCGGGAGGTGTTCTGGGCATAACCCAGGACACGCTGGAGGGACTATGTCTCTCGGCTGGCCTCGGAATGCCTCGGGGTCCCCCCGGAGGACATGTCTGGGGTGAAGGAAGTCTGGGAGTCTCTGCTTAGACTGCTGCCCTCATGACCCAGCCCCAGATAAGCGGAATATGGATGGATGGCCTCATGAAATATTCCATTCTTTTGGTTGGCTTGTAGGATGAGAGAACTCGTAAAGAAGAGGAGGAAGCTAAGAAGAGAGCAGAAGATGATGCTAAGAAGAAGAAGACCCTGACCAGTCTACACTTTGGAGGATACATGCAGAAATTGGTAAGGCTTATGTAATGAGTAGAGATGCTGTGGTACAGATTTTAGTACCACGATTAGTTTTTTACGATTATTTCCAGTTATTGGCATCATAACATCAGTGATGTCCATTAATTATGTAATGACTTCAATAATCATGATTATTGATTAACAGATTATTCTTGACATTCCTAGTTGTGTTGGGTCAATTTATGTCATGTACGAGTTTGTCAAGTTGGATTAATGTATGGTAACAATGCTTTTCCCCAGACAGAGAAACGCAGTGGCAAGAGGCAGACCGAGAGAGAGAAGAAAAAGAAAATACTCAGTGACAGACGTAAACCTTTAGACATTGAACACCTGAGTGAGGACAGACTCAAGTAGGTTCAATAATTATTGGGTCTGGAGATTTTGATTGTAAAAGTAACACTGGACTCCTCTCAATGTTTTGCAGAGAAAAAGCTAAGGAGCTGTGGGAGTGGATGTTTCAACTGGAGGCAGAGAAGTTTGATCTGCAGTATCAGTTTTCCAGACAGAAATATGAGGTTGGTCAGTTTTGAGTTTTGGTTTGATTCCTTTACTGTGAATCAGTAAGAAGACCCTTCACTGATCTTGCTAACTCAAGTCAAATGTGCAGCTAGTTGGTCCCTCATTTTCACCTTTTTTGTTTACAGATAAATGTGCTGAGGAACCGGGTCAGTGACCACCAGAAAACGTAAGAACATGTTAACCATTTAAGTTTCAACACAAGTCAGTGACAAAAATGTAATCCGGGCCACATGAATTCAACAGAACAAATACCGGTAATCCAATAGATTGAACCAATGACATATATTTCAAAATGATTTCAACATGGGACATCGACTGTATGCAGTACACACCTTCACTCCCTGTGTGAAATCCGTTGTAATCATCTCTTACAGTTAAATCCCCTTTAACCGGGACGTGCTGGGTGTGGCAGGTCATCTGTCACATCTGACTCACTTCAACACTGCTAAAATGACTGGAATGAACAACATAGTGGTGTGGACACAGTGTCCCTGTGTTTAACAGTGATGCATGTGAACAAACAAGTTCGCTGATCCTGTGTAACATGTGTCTTTTGCTTTGCAGTTCCAAGAGGACCAAGAGGGGCTTGAGGAAATAGAGAACCGGACTGGATTAGCAACTTCACAAAAACATTTGCAGAAAGATGTACAATGCTGTACAAAGTTGTGCTCATAGGAAAGCAAAAATTATGGAAAACATTTACCCAGTAGTCAGTGCCAGAATTAAAACTTTTCACACTTTTATTTTTGCAGTTCTTTGCATTACTATACATATTGTTCATATTATGTAATAATAAAGAATTTCTTATATTGAACATGCACAATTTTCAATTAGATTTTTACTTAAACAAGACTTTTAACCATTGTGATTTAATACAAAAAAGTATCCAGCTACATGGTTTTGCTGACAGAGGCTGTAAGTCCCAAGAACATTGCAGATAGAAATGACTCTTGATCTTTTGATTAAATTTAATTCATTGCACAGACCAAGACTGCAGCTAGAATAAAGAAAGCATGAGGCACTGCTTTTTCACTCACACAGACAACAGACAGACAGGCAGTGACATGACCAGAGCTGCACTGTGCTCCTCCACCCAGACCTTCCCCATAACCATTTAAAGACAATGATTCACACAGATCCTTAATCCAAGAGGAAAATCCTGTATTCTGATCTGTAAATAAGCCATGACCACCACAACCATTCACCTCACGGCTAATGTGCACCATAGACTGTATGGTGTGCCCTTATTTGTTCAAACCAATTTGTTTTTACACCAATTCATCACTCGATCATGTGTGCATTTTCCATATGAATGCTCTTGAAAAAGAAAGATATTCACACACCACTAGGAGTCTGCTTGAAGGCATTGTTCAAACTTTTATTAGTTCTTTAGGCAATGTTTATGGCATTTCTGTCTCACCGTGTTACATAACATAGTATGATACTCCAGTCTGCTTCGTTCTAGTGAACACGTTTTTGTTAACAAAGGTTTACACGTCACATCATATACAAATAACAGCACATGTAACTAAAGCATACCATGTACAGACCTGTGCCAGGGAATCCTCTTAATTATACACTACATACACACTACTCAGATGCACTGTAAGCAATACTGACAGACAGCAGCATTTACCAATACAAAACTTACTGTCAAATTCTGTGTATAGTTTAAGTGTGTCTGTCAATATGTTGTATCTAAATGTATGTATTAAAGCAAATGAACATATTTCAATGAATGAACTTCAGCCTATCACCTCTGCTTAAAATAAAACATCTGATTATAAGACAAATATTAAACTTCATTAATAAAAGGAGTTTTTGCTATTGAACTCTATGACTCCAGTATTTGACCCTTAAACAACAAACCACTGAACAAACACAATAGAAAGCATTTATAAAAAAAATTATACTTTATATAACCGGATGTAAATTGAAAAAGTTGAACCACAACCAACTGAATATTAAAATGAACAGGTGAAAAACCAGCTGACAATGTTATTGCTATTACCATATGTTTGAATTGTGAGTATTAAATGGAAGCATTATGTCTAATACACGATTATATACAGCACATTCAAAATCGAGCACAATTATATGCTGGCAAATACTTCAGCTCTGGTCCTAGTAACTATTAAGACACCTGCCACCTGCTTGTCTCTGTGGTGATGTTATTGCTTTGCCTGAAATGTTCCAGAGCATGGCATAAAACACGGCATAATACATGGCCAAGTTACAGGTAGAATATGATCAAATTTGACTTCTGTGGCTAATTATGAGTTCATTCTGCAATTTGACCATTGCAGCAGCTTATGACTTTTAATGATAATGTCTACTCAAAAATGGTTTACTGTGATTATGTTGCTTTATTGGTATTGTGTCAGTGGCATATCGTTTTTCTTTATATATCTCTGTAGCAATATATCATGCTTTAAAATATGCTATCATGACAGGCCAAGTTACAGGTCATATATGTGGAGAAGCTACCCTGCTCACAGACTGCTTATTTTTCAAGGTGTAGTTCAGCCATAAAAAAAACACCTGTTAATGAATAAATAAAACCTAAGTTTAATATCATACTATGAGAGCTTTCAAGCAAAGCAATAACACCTAAAGAAATTTAAAAAAAACAACTTCCCATCAGAAAATACAGTGTACCTTTAGGTCAAGTGGATATTGTCTAAACCAGAAGTTTCCAAATTATGCCCCCAGGGGCCAAATGCAGCCCTCAAAATGTTTGTTGGGCCTCAAGCCTCCTGTTTAATTGGCCCAAATGATCATAGACAGTACTTTGTACCGTAAATTAACATTTCTGTCTGTATTATCTTATAACATTGTGATACAGATTTAAATTAGGCCTGAAAACGGTTCTTTTTAAAAGTTTAAAAGGAGATGTGGGTCTGGAAAATGTATCTATCTGAACGTCTTGCTGTACTGAACACCTGTCTTCAAATATGTTTCTACATACAGTGAAAAAGGTTTGGACACCTCTGGTCTAAACCCTTTCAATGGCATTTGAGTTGGAGTCACATCGAGAGTCTCGACCATTATAAAGTCACGTTTAGAGTCAACAACAGATCAGACCAAATCTTAGTCCATGTTGATTATCCAGATGCATCACTGTAAAAAAAAGTCAAGTAGTCAAATGAATACCCGGCTGGGTCCGCGCCAACTAGACTTATTCTGTTGCTGAAGGAAGCACGATCTCTTTATCTTTAGCGTCTTTAGCCCTACTCAGGTTGCAATCAAACGAATCCTCTTGCTGCACGATCCCAGTGGAGAGGTCAACACAACAGCACAGTGTAAAACAGTAATATCGGGCTTGTATTGACAGATTCAAGACCACCTGACTTAAAAATTCCAGCACACAACCAACCTCAAAACTCCACATGCCTTTTTTGCACTGATCATTAAATACAAAACCCCTTGGGGTCATTAGTAATGATGCACATTACATTTTGACATAATATTTACAAAATATGATACAAATACAGTTACAGTAAAACAGCCAGAGGGCATCAGTGAGCATGCACACACATAAGTACAGTAAGTCCTTTTAAAAGTAAAAGTTCTTAAATCTGTTGCATGTACATGGGGATCCTACCTTCTGGATCTAGGCACATCCAGCCGAATTAGTCAATTACTTGCATAGACTTGTGAACTGCGGTTGTGTTTTCATTGACAAAAAGTGCTTTGGTAAAACCCAGCTGTAAAAGAAAAGATGAAAACCATGTTAAAATGTATCACATTTTGTGTCATATATGCAGCAGTAACACACAACATCTCCTTTATTACAGCAAAATACTTTTTCCCAGCCTTTCTTTGTGATGAGCTGTACCTGAAAATGCTTCTAACACATTCATATCTTTTTCTACCAAGTCAGGACAAGCCCAATTCATTAGCCTCTACCTAGTGTGTGCGTGTGGGTGTGGGTGTGTGTGTGTGTGTGTGTGCTTGTGTGCGTGTGAATGTGTGTCTTTCTCCTCCACATAACCAATTATCCTCAGAGGCTCAGAACCAGTTTGTCTGGATTCTTGTTTGTGTAGTCAATCAAGTCTTTGGGCATGGCAGAGGAGCCAGGAGGAGGATTGAGAAAGTGGATGAATATAATAAAACACCTACTCCTTGGGCCATCCTTGGGCCTCCTACAATTCATGTATGGAAACCACCAATGTATTATGTACTTTATGGCTGAATTAAATCATATAAAATGGAAAAGTTTGTGCATACCTTTTTAAGAGTTCCTTGCAGACTCTTATCGTTCCACAAACTGTAGAGCAAAAGGGCTGCTGCTTTGCTTCCTTTGGGGTATGACCTGGGACAAAACAGTAACAGCATTGCATGACACTAGCCAGGGTAAATGAAATACATATTATGAATCAGGCTTATAAAAGTTATATAAGAATACTGTGCACTGGCTGAGAGAGAAGTAGTAACTCAGATGTTATGTAACAAGTATAACGCATGTGCCTAGACAAGATCTTGCAGTAAAAGTGATTTACAAAGTAATTTAAAGTATGATGAGTCTACATTATAACTAATGAAAACATATAGACACCATTTCCCAGAACATGCACAGTACACAGGGTAACTGAGGTTAGACTCACCCATCTTCACTGAGATCAGCCACTGCTGATATTAGCTCAGAGCTGAGGGCCTTCTTTCCCACCTCGGAGTCCGCCGATATCAGGCTCTGCACCATGTTACACACAGTGGCAGTAGTTTCATCAGAGTTTCCCATCTTACGAGGTCCACTAACGAGATTGCTAGTGAGCTCAGGGAGAATCTTCTTGGCTAAAATAAACACATAGAAAAACAATACTTGAATATGATTGTGAGGATTATTTCTAGCTTATAAAATGTATTACATAGCTCGTACCCATAGATGACTGAAGCGAGCTGGTTCTGGACAAGTTACTCAGTAAAGAAATAGCTGTCTTCTGCAAGTTCTGGTTAGATGCTTTCAATAAAGGGGCCATGTACTCTAAGACCCCAAGCTTTTGAACCAAAATTTGACTCATGGCAGCAGACCCCTACAACAAGCCACAGCCATATTAGTAAAAAGGAGCCTACATTTTATGTTACATATAATCATATATGACATATAATCAATAATGTGACCATATCCAGCACAGCCCTTTATATCTGTATGTGATAGATACTACTACCAGAAGAAATATGGGTCATTCAAATAAAGTGGAATTTAAAACAAATATGATTTCATCTTTATGAGTACACTATGTACAGGTAGATTTGTGCAAAAGTCTGGATCTATCCTATTGCAGAATCAAATAGACAGGTGCACAGATACAATAGATTAAACACATGATCTTTCCAGTGCTTTCTGACATTAGTTTCTGGTTAGTAATAGGAATGGGCAACCCAAATGAGAGACTCGTGTGAGGCTAAATTCGCTTTCAATTTCCACAATAGTCTTGAAAGCCAAAGATCCAAATGAATACATCAATAACTTAGCCATCATGTCCACTGTTTTTCTTTTTGTAAATTGGAATAAATCAACATTGCAATAGTTTTCTGTAAGAGCAATATTTGATTTGAACAGATTTACCTCATATCTGGGCACACAGATATTGAAATACTAATTATATGTACCGTTCCTTTAAAGTCAAGTGTAATATTCACTCATGGCTCAGTCCTACTGGTTGTGTTAAATGTGTTATTGTTTTATTTTATGTCTTGTGTGTGGCATTTTGGCCAATTATTTTATAGTAGGTGCTTGATAAATAAAGCTGATATTGATACCCACCCTTTAATTGATTATTACTACAGGTGTTATCGCAGCTGAAGCTATTAAACCTATCGTATCAGTAAATGATTCATCACACACACAAAAGAGTCTTTGTACTGACCACCTCCCGACTTGCAGTCAAGTTCTGCAGGGCGCCGCAGCAGGCCTCCAAAGTGCCATCTTTCTGGGATGAGGCCAAGAGAGATAGGTACGTCTGCATGGTTTTAGGATGGCTTAACCACATCACACCTGAGGGGGTGCTCTCTGGCTTATGATCAAATGAATACTGAAGACAGAAGAAGAGCACATGTTAGAACTCCTGTTGAATATAATTAACAATCTGTGCATTCTACTCATTACTTCTTACTTCTTTTTGGGCTTTGCTGCTCTTGGGACTGAAGCAGCCTGTTGTGGCAGAGGATTTCTTCTGGGCTGTTTCCTCAGGGTAGTAATTAGAGAAGCATTCCTGGGCTTCAGTCTCCAGTTGGTAACTCAAATTATGGAGGATACATGCTGAGTTCTCCACAGACTAGAGGAAAAGAGTGATCATACCAATTATACTAAACTGATATAATGATGTGTACCTAACTCCTTCTCAGCTTGAATTACCAGTTGAATAACCTTCTCATATCAACTTATTGCAAAATAACATTGTGGGAAATCAAAAGCCATAGGTAGGTAAGTTATTGATCTAAATCATATTTGGATGATAAAACTTTTTTGCTTGTCCATTCCTCTTCCTCTAGTAGGAATAAGGTTAGGTAAGTTTAAGGTAATGCATGAAAACTTGTCGCAGACAGTGCATACATAGCTAGTTAACTACCAACTGACTACTAGATTATAGGTCTTCTGCCTGTCAAGTAAAGTTTTACTTTCACTGCACTAAGGTAACGTCTAGACTTTTTTGCACTTACTTATCAACCAAGCCATGAACAGTATCAACAAACATTTCCTCAACTTCTTTTAAAACTGTGTAAACAGTGCATGGGCTGGGCCTTACTGAAGTATGGAACCATGCCCAAAACATTCCAATTGTTTACTTGTAAATATGGCACTGCATGTGTTTCTACTTCATGTGTAAATGCAGATAATGAAGAGTGTCTGTATTACTACATACAATGACTCTATGTTAACATAAATTACAGTTGGGATTTGAGCAGTTTACCTTGTCATCTGGGTTGTCCTCTGCCACACAGGACTGAGTGTAGCTGATCAGAGAGTCGATAAGCCCGGGGCACTTTCTCATTGCATCCCTTACACTTTTCTCGGCAGAGCTCAAGTTCCTTAACAGTTGAATGAAAAAACAATAAAGCATTAACTTTTGCAGGGAACAGAGTGCAATGATAAGAGACTATGTCTATCCAACAAAAATAAACCCAATCTGAGCGATTATACAATCACGTACATTTGTTTATATTATAAAAATATTGTGTTTTTTTCTATCTTTTCTAACATCTTTTAACTTAAAAGAAAGTAACTGTTTAGAAATCAAGTTTAGAAATCAATGCTAAAATCACCACTGTTGCCAGAAAAGAGTGCAAGGCTGCTGGGGCACTGAGGAGTGAAACTAATTAAAATAAATGAATAAAATGGCTAGATTTGAAGAAGCTCATAAGCAGGAGAGACATTTCAATAGAGACAATTTGGGCCAGGGATTTCTAAAATATATATGATGGAAACACAACTACAACTATGTTTAACATGTGTTTAAAGTTAACATAAAAAAATATCCTGTAGTTTTATAATAAACTGAAAAATAAATTCACTAATAAGTAGTGAACAGATAAAGCAAATCAAAATACAAAGATATACTAGACCTATTACATATGACTTAATTTTAAGTAATAAAAATGTAATGATTTGAATGAAGAACTTGCAGAGAGAAACGGCGCTTACCTCAGACAGCCTGTGGCGTTATAGAAGACTTCTGGATGTATGTTGTTGTTGGCAGTGTTGTCTGACCAGGAGGTGAATGGAACTATAACATTATTCGTCAAAACAGGGAGTGCTTTCGAAATAAGATCTGCTTTGAGCTCATCAGAAGAAGACAAGTTCCAAAGCAGGCCTAAATGCAACATACAGAAACAATGCATCTGTCATTCACCAACGTTTAATTTTTTCTCTTCGCAGAAGATCTTTGGCTTTCCTGTGACATTGTTGAAGGCAACCACAACTTTAAATTAACCTAATCAAACACAGGACTACAACAGGTCTATGCTAGGTCTAATCAAGTCTAAACTAGATGAAAGCCAGCAAGCATAAAACCAGGCCCAAACGAATTTTCAATCAAAAATATTAAACCGGTTCAACTCAGGACTAATTAATGACTAAACCAGGACATGACAAGAACTTTATCAGCCCCAAATCAGCACAAAACAACTACATATTAAACTGGGTCAAAAGCATAATTACAATGTTTACCTTATTCATCATTTTACCACAATGAGGGCAGATTAGACATGTACCTGTGATTTGTTTCTGAGTCTCTGTTGAGTTTGTCTCCTTAAGAAGATCCAGAGCCTTCTCTATGCCCTCACAGCTTTGCACCTCCAGCTTATTGGCCTGGTTTTTGAACACCAGGTTCCTTAGGGCCCCGGCCGCAGCCTGGCTTACCCCGGAATTGGTACTCCTCAACAAAGCAACAAGAGGAGGGACACCACGGAGCTGGGAAACCTATTAAACAATGGATAGATATTTAAGATTTAGGATTTAGGGTGTGGGAAAAGATTGACACTACATTAAATTCCAATCAGAGTTGCAGCCAAGTCATTATAAATTCTCCTACTTGTCCCTCAAGGCAGGTTACATAAAGGTCTGGAGATGTTTGTTAAGTTAAAATGGCATTTACCTGCACAAGCCACAAATGAAAATAGTAAATACATCAGTAATATCAATAGTGCTGAGTGAAAGTGGTACCTCCTGTTTGGCCTGGTCTTCTTTGAAAGTACTATGTTGAATAAAAGTGGCCCCACGCTGCTGGAAATTCAAATCTGAATGAGACAGAAATGCTACAGCTTCTTTCAGGGTCATTTCTGATGTAGATGTTGTCACGCCATTGGTAAAACTAAAAAGCCATAAGACACATGATAAATAGTTAGACTAGTCTGAATAAAAGGACAAACAATTCACATATACATACATAGTTTTCTGCTCTGTCTTGATAGTTTTGGTGGTTTTGGACTCATGATTGGACTGAGCAGAGGGAGGGCGGCCCACGCGTGTCTGGCTGGTGGTCATCTGTCCTCCGTTGGTTAGGGAGTATACGCTGTGTCTGGTCACTTTTGTCTGTTGGGATGCAGTCTGTCCTTTGGCTCTCTATATAATAAATGAGTCATCATTTTTGATTGTTTTTTTTATTTTTTATTATTGTATTAGCTTTTCAAACCTGGAATCAAACTTTACAATCTTGACCATGTATATTAAATTTGTCTTTTACTGGTATTTCTCTTCACATGACAAATCGTATTATGTAAATCACAATGACCTGCATGCAGCTGGTGAAAGAGGTCTTACCATGCCGTTTGATTGTGGGGCCACAGACAGAGGCGGTGCCAGGGCTGGGTCACTGCGGCTGGGCTTCAGTCCATTGGGAGTTTGGGGCCAATTACCGGGACTGATCTGCTGCTCGAAGGTGCCCGAGGAGCTGATGAATCTGCCCCCAATGGACTTAGTCGACAGTGTGCGGGACTTCCGAGAGTTTATCTACACTCAAAACACAGAACATACAATGACCCTACTATTCAGATGAAGTGGCTTGCAAAGGTGGACAGGTTCAGAGGGGGAAGAAAAACATGAATACCAGCACAGTGCAAATGCTTCTAAGCCTTTCAGTGACTGAAAAAGTAGGTAACCCACTTTCCAGTAGAACAGTTCTCAAAGAAGACCCCCTGTAAACCAAGACGCAGGAATTCACTCTCACACAAAGCACACAAAAGTTTTTCTCTCTGGAGTCGGCAGAGAATGAATGCTACACAATACACCAAACAAGCCTCACGCCAAGGAAACATAATATTTGAGTTTTATGGATTTGGCACAAATCTGTCACAGAGGAGCTTTATGTTTGGACATACATAGCAGTTACCAAACATCTACAATTATTTATCAAATAATTATGTTGATAATCCTTAATCCTGCATCATTTAATCTGTGTCTTTGCCAAAGCGCTACTAGGAAATTGCTTGGTGCAAGCAAGAGGAATGTGAATTAATTTATGCTCCATTTCCCTCACATGATCCTTGTCCACTTAATTGGAGCTTCCAATCAAATAGGTCAGGATATTGTAATGACATTTAGAAAATGGGACAGCTGTATTATGGAGTCATAGGCCATTTACTACATCCACTGCTCATGTAGCTGAGACATGTCTCAGGCACCTGTCAGTGGCTAAGGCCAGTCCAGGGCAGATACCAACTTTGATTAAACACATTGATGGGGTCTACACTGTCCTTCAATGTACTCTGGTCCGGGAAGTGATGGTTTGAACTCCTTCTGACTTTTAGAGAGACAACTAAGATTAAAGATGTCAGTTTGTCTGTGTGAAAAATAGTAAACTCCTGAAAATCACAGACAACACCCTGTGCCGAGGACACAGGCACAAACTTGCATATAAAACAAAATACCAAATAAAAATCAGTAAGTCTTGAATTAAAAAAAGATGCATAAATAATCTGAGAAATCACCTCACAGTACATTTAAGGTTGTAGTATGGAGGGGAGGATTGGGAAAAGGCAAGACAGTTGAATACTTTAAACAGGTTAGAAGAAGTATTACAACAGTGGCATAAAACCATAAATCACTTAACCACAATTCTGCCTCTGTTACCAGTGGATTCAAAGTGCAAAACAAGATGGATTTTTAAGAGTTTTCAATAATTTATATTGCTGTAGAAAGTCATTTCCTTATGGCCTATTGTATTTTTGAAGTGTTTTATAGTCTGCTGCTGTTACACTGCCTAAATTTGCCTCGTTTCGTAACTGTCAGCAATATTATAATACCATGGTTATTGTTCCATTCCTACAAAACACTTTTTCTAGCATCATGTTAGTATGAGAAGAAGTGTGAATCTCAATAAGGGAACTGATTTGTGACCATGCACTGTGACCAATCGATCACACATTTGTTGTAATGTATATCCACAAAAGCCACTGTAGTCAGCAAGACAGCACAGAATAAGAAGCACATCCATCTTACTATTATTGCATTATAAATAAATACATAGATGAAAATACACAGTAAAAACTTTACCGGTTTGTTGAAGTTTGTCATAGCAGAGTTGCTGCGAGAAAACACGCCATTTGCTTTAAATGGGGTAAACTTAAATGTTCCAACCTCTGATAGCCCCAGTGAAGTCAAATCTGGAAGAGAAAAGAGAGAAAACATGACTTAAGGGCCAATGAGCACAATTAGAAATCATTTTAAGACCATTTTCTTTCAGTCCATGTATTTAAAGACTGGAATTTTACAATTAAGAGGACTACTAAGAGGAAGTCTTTAACTGTAAATTATGTGTGGCCCTATGTGCACAGAGATGTTCTCATGTTTATTTGGCATTAGGAGAGTCTTAAAAATGTAGAAATATCTCAATTATGTTCTAATGCAATGTTTCTCAGACAGCAATTTCCTTCAGATGGTACACAGATTAGACTGTAGTACAAATATTTGCTGAATTTGGTCAATTTAATCCTCATTTTGCTCCTTTGGGTTGGTCCTGGTTTGAAACTCCTAGCATATATCAAGAGTGTAGTCCCATTTTAGACCAGGTCAAGTATTTTCTTATGGTATTTGATGTGAAATTTTGAGAACCGTTGTTTAATGTAATTGTTATTGTAGTGTAGGGACTTGCTGATAAATACTAGCCTACAGCGTTGACAAGCATGTGCAAGACTCCTTACAAATCACAACTGATGGTGGCTGGTGTAAAACCCCTAAAGAGCTGCAGAGGTATCCTTTCTGAGCTGCGTCACAGGTTCATGGCAGGAGCGGTGAAAGTGTCAACAGAGGCACCAGCTCAGACAGGTTCATCCACCACTTCAACTAACCTAAGGTACAGTGTATCTCAAAGGTTCAGCAGTGATCCATGTTTTGTATAGGTAAACATGACATCTCAGGTAGCCTACTTCACAATGTAGCCCATTTGTTATTTCGTAATTACTATCTAACGACCTGACCTTACAACAAGTTATTATTTTGTAACAGTCATGATGCATGTGTTATTATTTAAGCCTCTGGGCTCAATTCCAAATTTAGTTAAGCAAAACAACTCGTCTTGCCAGGGCATAAACAGGCGCACGAAATAAACTGTTGGAAATAAACAGTTATTTTGTTAACAACCATAAGTTATTTTCAATCATGCGAACATCTATGGCGCTTTGGTCATTGGCCTACTGTGGCTGGGGTAGTAGTTTGATAGAGTTTTTGTAAAAGAAAGTTTACACATAGCTAACTATATAGGCCTTTGACTATAACATACTGTTCCTGTAGCGAAGATGAAAAGGTACGTACTTGTGGGAGATGATGGAGACAGGGGGCCATTCCTCCCTTGTTTAGACTTGCTCCGCTTGATGGTGTGCACTTGGTTGAGCACACGCGCTTGTCCCGAGCGCAGTGTGGCGTCTGAGGGCAGCGCGAGGGAAGTGTCCTCCGCGTTCCCGATGGTCATCGCCGATTTCAGCGGCTCCGGCACCATCATTTTCCCTGGTCAGTGCCCCCGGCGCGGTAGAGTTTCCAAAAAGCAAGCCTGGTGAGGAATACGGAAGATCAGACAACTAAATGTGGATGTGGTAACGTATGCAGCCGTAATGCCAAGTACGCAGATGGGCTGAAAGTTCCCAGAGCGGAGCGCTCCACCCCCGGGACCGCGCCTCAGTGGGGTGGGGCGGATCACACAGCTCACATGCAGGTGCAGAAAGAAGAGAGGCGGGGCTGCTCAACACCTACTGCAAACAGCCATGGATCTACTAGGCCACTGCAAATAATTAGAATATCATGAAAAAGTTTAATATTGTCACTCATTTCAGAAAGTCAAACCCATATACAAAAACTCATGACACAGAGTGAAACATTTCTAGAGTTTATTTTTAGTTAGTTAGTTTATTTTCTTCGGTCCATTAACATAATCATACATCATATTACAATGATTTAACACAAAAAAATATGCATTTTATGCATATCACTAAAGTATTTCTTTATTTTTTATGATTATGGCTTACAGATAATGAAAAAAAACTAAATTTTGTGTCTCAGAAAATTAAGGCAGGCTATTACATCAAATCAATAAAAAATATATTTAAAACTGAAATGTCAGACTTCTGAAAAGTATGTTCGTCTCTATGCTTACAGTACATGTTTGGGCCTCCCGTGTCATGAATCACTGCATCAGCGCTCCGTGGCACGAAGGAGATCACTCTGTGGCACTGCTCAGGTGTAAAAGCCCAGATTGCTTTGATAGTGGTCTTGGGGTTATCTGCACTGCTAGGTCTGGTGTCTCTCATCTTTCTCTTGACAGTAGAACAGAGATTCTCTGTGGGGTCCAGGTCAGGCGAGTTTGCAGGCTAATCAAGCACAATAACACCACGGTCAATGAAACAGCTTTTCGTACGTTTGACTGTGTGGGCAGGTGCCAAGTCCTGCTAGAAAATTAAATCAGCACCTCCACAAAGCTTGTCAGCAGAAGGAAGCATTTAGTGCTGTAAAATGTCCTGGTAGATGGCTGCAGTGATGTGGACTTCGGAAAACACAGTGGACCAACACCAGCAGATGACATGGCAGCCCATATAATCAATGACTGTGGAAACTTCACACTTGACACTCCTCCAGACTCTGGGACCGAGATTTCCAAAATATATGCAGAATTTATTTTCATCTGAAAAGAGACTTGGGACTACTGAGCAACAGCCCAGTTCTTTTTCTCCACAGCCTAGGTAAGATGCTTCTGACATCGTCTCGTGTCCTTAGGCTTCATCTGTGCGTAGAGGCTCTTGACTTGAGCGTCAGTCCTCTCCTTATGGTTGGTGCACCTTTTCCCACCTTTTTTCTTCCACTTGACCTGGAGGCATCACCTGTTTAGAAATGTCCATAGCAGGTAGCAGGTTCTCTATCAGAAAAGTTACATAGTTCACCTTTAAATTAAAGCCTAAATGTATCTTAGTATACTCAGTCATTTACTTCAACCTAATTAATTCAGCCATCTACAACCTTAAAACACACACACAATTGAATGAGCTTGGGGGCAAATGAGAAAAAGAAGCTAAAAATTGCTCTCTGTAAAACCGGATTTGTTTCAGTTTTTGCTTGCTCTCAACACACCCAGGTTCACCATTGGCAAACCATAAATAATTACCATATGGTGATATGGTTCGTTTGAAGCCAGTGTGGGCTCATTTACTAAACTTGACTCTTTTAACAGTGGCACTTGCTGGCAAGTCTAAATCTCTCACCAGAAATGTTACATAGAACATATTTAAATGAGGTTAATTGTTTTGACCTGTATATTTTGGCCACAAAAGTAATTTTTGGAATACAAAAGTGACTAGTATTATTTAACACTCAAATATGAATGGATTGGTCCAAAGTATTCCTATACCCGAGGTCTCTGAATGATATGTGTGCTTACTCTTGCATCACTGTAGAGTTGTGAGGCATGTGTAGCTGTACCACACCCAGCCTGAGGGCCTGGATCAGTCTGGATCATCAGAACTTTGCAACAGATGTGACAAACCTTTGATATGAAGGTTAGTGGCACTGCTTCACAACAAAAATCTTAACTTAAGAGATATAAATTTGAAACTGCTTAGTAGATCACTTACATACGCCCGCAAGAAAAAAAAAAAAGTAAAGAAAAAAAAATCTATCATGTAGCCTGAGATTAAAGAGAAGATTAAAGGAACTGTATGTAACCTGGGCCTCTTGCAGTTTTAAATAGGGTATTTACAAACTAAACTTGGGTTGCCAGTGCCTTAACCTGCATTACTTTTTTTTCCTAATTCTCAGTGTACAGCATGTACAGTAGCAGGAGAGGCACTGATGAATGATTGGCTGCAGGCACTGGTGTTTAAGTAATGAGGTTTCAGATCAAAGAGAGCATTTTTATATTTGAGCTTTGAAACTGGCAACCCAAATGAGAGACTCATATGAGGCTCATTCCAAATAAATAAATGACACATCATGTCCAATGTTTTTCTAATCAAGAATAAATCAGCATTACAATTGTTACCAGTTAGAACTATTTATTAACATGTATGGAATTTAAAATCTAAATCTTATAAACAGTGCCTTTACATGAAATAATAAACCATTTGGGTATAGAATGGGCAAAGCTTGTTGAAAAAGCAAACTGACCAAAAGTTATGCCTGTAGTGTCTGACCATATGTGTTTATTTAGGCAAAAATAAAGAAAGTAAGGAGTATTAAAAATAATAACATGAAGATACGGCTAATCAAAAATACTATTCTACAAAAATAATATTCTGCCAATACAGATGCGTAGTCCAGCTTTTCTATCGCATAAATATATTTTACTGGACTTTATTCCCATTTAACGGATTGGTTGAGTGCGCCATCTCGTGGACAAAGGTAAGAGTGCTGGGGCAGGTTGTACCCATGGTTGTATCACACTCAAACACGGTGTTGAGGGCGCCTGGCAGTCACCAAGAACATTGTTATGGCTTAGCAAACACAAATGATTTCTGCAAACAGTAATTTTATTGGTTCAGCAAAGGCACAAGGTATTTTCACTGAGAAGTCAGAACCAAAGGATTTAACCGGTGCGGCCAACATTTAAACACACCAGTAATAGTAAACATGTATAACTTTGGTCGACCACAGAGAAAAATGTTTTAATTTTAACAGTCACAGCAGGAGTGGATGAGAGAGTGATGAAGGCGTAATATGTACCATCCATAAACAAAAAGCATTACACAAAGAGATCAGAAATGGATGTTAGTGTTAACCACACCCTAGTGCAGTGCGAATAATCTCATCTGTACCGTATATAGCATTTAAAAACATAGTAATAACACCTTAGGTTGGCGGAACCAACAAATATGAACAATATTTCTGCTTTGATTGTTTTGTAAAGTGTACACACCATTTACCTCAGTACTACAATTTAGTATACCATAAATATACCATAATAGGCTTTTATCAAGTCTGAGGGATAGAGGCCATTTAAAAGTGGTTTGTATGGGCCAATTTGGCGAAAAAAACAAAAAAACAACTTATATTCTATATAAAATATGACTCAATACTATACACATTTTGGGTTGTAGTGCATTTCACTGAGGCACAAACTTGGTTATTTTGTGTTTTTGTGACTAATAATACAGTATAACTTAATAAGAAGTAGTGATATTTGAATTAAGCTTAGAAGTACAAACAAAACGTCATAATAATGTCACTGGATGCATAAACACTGAAGGGCTGCTCAGCATCCTGTAGTCAAACTTGTCTCACAGTAATCACGCCTACAATTTAAAAGCAGGAGTACAATTGAAAAATTGAGACTGTTACAAATATAAGACACAGGTAAATTTGTCTTGAACAAGTAATAAAAATCGGTGTTGTCCGTGCACAACTCCACACTATAAATTGCAAATACCAATACAATACAATAAAACCTTGAAAATGGCAAATATGATAGGATGACATGGACTGCAATAAATAACTTAAAATTTACAATCCCAAATTATCACCTTTTAAAAATGTATTACCTCTGTGTCACATGGTGCATTTGATCCAATAGGAATGTAGTGCCTTAAACAAATGGCAGGCATGACTACAGTGTGACTGTTGGTCAGTTAAAACATGGGGGGATCCAAGTAGTGTTGCTATGGGTATCCAAAAGTCTGTAAAGTCTTGACATGCACAAAGCATGCTAATCGTTAACTAATCGATACACGTGGTACTGTGCTCCATGTTCACTTGTAGACACTTCAAAAACAAAGGCAATGCACAGCAAAGTCTCCTGGGTCTCTCTATTTGACACAACCTGAAAAATATATAAGTTATTTCAGTGGTCAGATTTGTCAATAGGGTATTTCTTGTGAGATTTACGAGAAAAAAATGTACCTGTAAGATGGTAAAGTTCTCCAGTACACTGTTCATCATGTATTTCTCTGGTAGGTGTTTCAGTTTGTGGATGAAGTTGATCATATATTCACACATTGGCGAGCGATGAATACGAAATATATATTTCCCTCCTTCTAGACGAGCATATTCAGTCTAAAAAATATTTTAATTAGATCTAATAGAATATAAAATTATCAAAAATTTATAATAAGGATAAAAATTATTTACCTCCACTTTTTCCACCACTTGTTTTCCAAAGGAACAGACTTTAGTTGAAACACTAATGCTGATGCTTTCTGTCCCGCTATACTGACTGCTTACACCATAGAATGCACTGGAGCCCTCCTCAATATCACTGCTCAGGTCAGCCTAAATTAATTAAATAAATAATAAAGAAAAAAGCAATGTCAGCTCAATTGAGATATGGTATATATACACATGCAAATCTTGAGAAATTTACCCAAAACTTGACCAGGAAAAAAGCATTGTGAGGTCCTTTTTCATAGAGTTCCTTCAGTCCTCCCTTTTTTTCAGAGAACTTGTCGTAGATCTGTCTTATATCTATGGACTCCAACACTGGGTCATTGTAGCCAGGGTTTGAAGGGCCAATGTGAACAAATAGATGTTTGAACTACAAAAAGAACAGTTTTATGATCAAGAGACAAACTTTAAATTTGTTTAACTATGCGGTTAGTTTATCTCTTTACCGTCTCCCTCTCTCTCTGGGTCTCCATAAATGCAGAATACTCAAGTAGCCTGAGCTTAGCAGAAGCAATGGTGCGGTCTTGCCAGACAGGAGCTGCAGGCCGGGGAGGGGGCAGGGGCTCATAACCTGCAAAACATTAAGGTCAGTGAAACTCTTCCCATGTCCCTATAACAAAATGACTCTTAATAATAGAAGTTTGTACACTCACACTTACTGATGGGTGCTGGGACTGGAGCTGGTAGTGTGGTGTACGGGGGCTGTGCAAAAGGCTTAATACTGCAAATGAAGAAACAGCCATGGGAAGAGTTTGTTACATACAATAAATATTACTGAAGTATAGCATTATGACAATTGACAGGTATTGTTAGTATTTGAGTTTGACAGAATCCAACTGCAATGGATACATGAAGGATCAGATTTAGAGCTTCTTGATTATGGAAGAAATTGTCACTCACAATTGTTTAACTTATAATTGAGTGAACAGATGAAAGGAAAGGGGTTTATCTCACACATGTGCACATTGAATGTAGCAAAGAGTTAATGTCTTGATTGAACAATTTCACACAATTTTAGTAATCAGAACAATAACCATAATTGTAACTGAAAATCAATGAATTACACAGCCCTAAATCTTCTCATTAGGGTTTTCATTATGTGTTTGTAACATCTGATAAATGTATTATGTTTCAGGTACTCACTCCTGAGAGTGTCCAGGTTGTCCTGGCATTGGGCTGGGCCAAAACTGAAAAAGGACAAATTAGCAGGGATACCTAAATATAATTGTTAAGAGATGTTGTGAGTTCCTTACTCTGACAGGTGGAGAGAAAGGAGTCTGTGGCTTCATGACACTAGCAGAAACTATTTGAGCGGAGGACAGGTTGGCTACTGTCTGCAGTGCCTTGTCTTTGGAGGCCTGGTCCTGAGTGGAAAAAAACAGAGAAAGGTAACACAATATAGCAATGCTAAGAAATATAGTCCAATACATCAGATTACAGTCCATCAGCCAAAAGCCAGCCAATTTACATAATTAACTACAAAAATAAAACAGGGGCAAAGCAGATGTAAAGGGAAAGCCAAAGCAGGGATGCACCAAGCTAGCAAACTATACAGCTGACCAGAGCCATCACCTTATTTTAACTAAGCAACTCAAAGTTAAGTGTGTGTGGGCAGAGCTCAGGCAGGCCAACTCCAGTGGGGCTAGCAGTAGTATGAGGCCAAACACAAAGCCTGAAGCAAAAACCGCAGAGAAAACTTACCAAGTTCATTGCCTACAGCAGAGGAGACAGATTTATTTAATTACTGTACAATCTATTATGGTAATTATTATGGTAATATAAACATAACATATAAAATGTTCCATGTGATGGAGCTACAATAAATTCAATTATTTAATTACAATGTGATAAAACAAACATTTTACAAATAAGACCATTAGAAAATGAAAGAAGATGAAAGTACATTTTAAAGGTGAAGAAAATAGTAAGTAGGAGGTTTTATTTTGCACAAAACAAAAACACCAACATGTTTTTATATGAGAAGTTCATGCAAATTAGTTCTTAAAAAGCCTACATTATAGCCATGCATTAAAACTCTCAACACTAGTGTTCAAATTAGTCAACACAATCTGAAAACCAGATAGGCTAAAAAACAATTAAAGAAAAGCAAATACTGATAGTCGAATATATCGAAAATACAGGCATTATGATGATGTGGATCATTTAGTATTGGAAAAAAGTATTTAGTATGCAAAAAAACCACACAAGCTTTGTCAAGAGCATCTGTGATCATAAATAAATCTGTTCCACAAGCACATCAGTCCTAAACATGTACCTTGAGCTTGGACTGAATTTCACGAGACTTTCTCTTGGCCAAGACTTGCAGGTGACTAGAGACCTGAAGACCGACAGGAACAGAGAGAGGACAGGGGAAGAGAAGAAAGAAAGAAAGAAAGAAAGGAGAGGTGACTACAGAAGCAGTGGACAGAGTGAGCACCCACCTTGATGCTGGTCTGGTATTCTCGAACTCTCTTACGCGCCAGAACCTGAATGTGACTAGACACCTATTTGACCAGGGTTGGATCACAAATTGTCACAGAGTTATTATTATTATTATACTTCATAACAGGTTATTAAATATAAAGTTAACCATCATTAAATTTACACGGTTATACATTGATACTGGTTTGGAAGTCAACATGATACAGAGTATTTACTAAGGTGGGCGATATGTTCAACTGTGATATGACTGAGACAATCAGCTTATCTAGAGGGGTTTTTATATAGTAATTTTGTTTTATCATGTTTAAAATAGTGAATACATGGAGGGTTGTTGTATTGTTTTAAAAGAAGGTCAATGTTATAAGTGAGAAATAAAAGTGTGCTTACCTGTTTCCGAGTGCGTGTCTTCCCTGTCCGTAGCTTGATATACCGGGCTATCAGCTCATTGCGTCCTGAAATGTACAAGAAGGTTTACAGAAAGATTAGTAATGATACATAAACAAAACTATAAACTTGGCCTAAACACAAAAAAAAACAAAAAACATCAGGACTTAAGACTAGGCAAAACCGGAACAAGGCAAGAGTGAACAATGACAATAAGGCCGCAAGCAAATGATGTTTGATAAGTATGAAATGTTTTCATCACACTTGTGATAACGGACCTAAAAAAAATAAAAACAATTCTATTGCTACAAGAAACTGTAGAATAAAGAGACATTAATAGTTTCCTGAAAACAGCTATGACATTTTTTCTCCTCTTTACAAGTAGAATATTTTTTTAATTAGGAATGTTTGGATACAATCTTTTTGACAACAAGCAGCTACATTTAGTGTCATTAGTGTCATGATTAACATCTAACTTGTGATGGTATGTTTAGTCTTTTAGTGTTAGTGTCATACACATTTTCCAGATTTGTAAATGTATTAAAAAAAAAAAAAAAAGGAAAGTCAAGAATTAAATGTTTTCTCCTCATATCAAAAAGTGAAGTTGTGGGAGAACATAAAGGCAAAACAAAAGTGTGGTTGCCATGAAGACCAAAACTGTCCAGTCAGCTCCTTGTGTGCAGCCTCCCCCAGATCCCACCCACACGGGACAAGCACAGGGCCAGGAAGTTTCAAACAAGTGAAAAACTCTCATCTCCCTCCCTTTGGCATTAGACAGGTTAAAGCAACATGCACAAAAATAACCTTTAATCTCCTATAATCTACTCTCATATTCACTTTTTTACATTCAGAGCTGCTCTTTTTTTAAATTCAGGGAACCCATGTGATGCCGTTTTGGGCCACAAAAGGGTGAGTCAGCGCAGCTCTATGGAGTTACAGGAAGACAGAATTCCCAAAACTGGAGAGAGAGAAATTGAATCAGACAAAAACGAAAAAAAAAAAAAGACTTTACACCTATTCCCATAACAGGCTAAAAATTCCCCTCAAACTGCTATGTCATGCTACAAGTGCATTTTACATCTTAGGAGTCTTAGGAGGCAGGAACTATACTAGATTGAGGTAGCTTTTTAGACATTTATACACAGTTTATAGCCCCTAAAGATTGTTCAGTACTGGTTGTGCATTTTATAGATATTGAATAGTCATTTTACCACATCTGAAATTGTATGTTTAGGAGACCGAAATCATGTTTAGTTCATGCTGCACTCTCAATTGTGGATCTACTTGACCACTATAGTCCAATTACAAGGCACTCCCTTTTTAAAATCTAAAAATACTTGGAGACATATTGGTACAGTATATCATGGAGAGCAAACAGGCTGTCTTTGTTTCGTCTGTCACCCTGAGCTTATCCGTCTGATGGTTATTCTAATTTAGGAATATATGCCTGAAACCATACACTGGGTGAGCTCATGGTAGTAACATATAACAGAGACCCCACTGAGATGGCCACTCCATTTCAGCTGTCCTAATTTAGACTGCAAGTCCTTGATACTTTGTAATACAACATAATGGGTAGTTATTGCAATTGTTATAAAATAATGCCTAAAGTTCTACACCACGGAATCACACATAATACTTTTTAGCAATTGAATAGATCAGTGTTTTCAAATGTAATTGCAACTAAGATCAATTAAACAAAATTACAACAAACACATGCCTGCTGTTGCTGTGGGAAAAAATACATTCTGTGGCTGTGAAATTAATCACATTTTGATCGAGATTCTTTCATTCTGTCAAAGGTATGTTTTTTTTTGGTTTTTTTTAAAGAGCGGTCTACAATCAATCCTCTGTCAGTAATGTTTTGGAGCAGAGTTCAAAGAAAGAAAGCTGCCAAAAAAATAAAAATTGAAAACACCAACTGATCAATATGACAAAACAATCAGGATACATTTTATTGTCATAACACAGCCCTGAGGACTTCCACACAAGGGGAACATAGGTTTTCCTATCTTTTGTAGCTTTTGGGATCACATTTCTGGTCTCCTCTACAGCACAGCTGCAAACAAATGCCTATAATGGAAATGACAACTCCCAACAAAATAACTGAAGGAGGAGGATTTGAGGAACATCATGGCCTCCAAAATGGGGTTCATTGTCAGTTAGGGTCTAAATCTGATTACATATAAACATTTTATTTTAACATCAATGGTTATGCTAAAACAAAAGATTTGTAGTTACAATCTGTAGCTGTAGGTAGCAACAAAAGAAATGTTGAACTCTTCATTCACCTTTTGACCCCATTTTGCCCTTTGACTACTTAAAAAAAGATCTCCCAAAATGTACCTCCAGGGCAGATCACCTGGGTACAAAGAGACCCTCGAAGCCAGACTGTGTCAAACCACATAATGTGTACACCAAGTACAATGGACTAAACTTGTGTAGCCTTCCATAGTAATTATTAAAACTGACAGCATACAAAATTATAAAAACAGAAGGTAAATATGAACTCTAGTCACAGCAGTGTTGTGTTATGGGTAAAAGTGTTGTACATACAAAATTACTTCTGTAGCTCAAACCAAGTGAAAAGTAATAAATATCCATTACTGTGTTATCTCTTAATGGCACCTATTTGGATTCAAAATGTTTGTTACACTAACAGAACACATACATGATTATACGTAATATAGTTTTAGAGACAAAATCTGACATTTGTGTATTTTAGCAAAAAAACGTATGGCACCATAGGACACTTGACTAAATGACTAAAACATATTCACTGCATTTTTCATGTGCAGTAGCCAAAACTTGCCTTGTGTAAGGTCTGCTAGGCTACAGTGCATGTGGGCTCTCAGTCTTCCAAAAAGGCATATCTTTTAACCATCTTCCAGATACACACAGATCTCTAGCATTCAAAGACCAGGGTCAAAAGACTGTATACCTTCACACTGCAACACCTACTGATGTGCACATGGCATTGTTTCTTACCATACATCTTGCCCTCGTCAGACAGAATAATCTTCCTGCGACCACAGGGAGGATAGATGGCCAGGGCCTCCTGAAAGCTCTGCTCGATGTCTGGACTCCACACTCCCTCTGGATCTCCGTCCAGGCCGCGGTCTGCCCCGTCCCCCAGTCCCTCTCCATTGGGACTGTCCTCCTGTGCCCCATCAGGGCTGCCACGGCAACTCCACTCCGACGCAATGATGCCGGCTCTAATCAACACACCTGCAAACAGAAAATATATTATCATATTATCACTAGGACAATTGGGTGCAAACAGTTTTGAGTAAGGTTAATATCAGTGGCCTGCACAAAGGGGTGATAAAGACAGTAGGGAAAATCATTTGGGCTACTCTCCAAGATATCAGCGCCAACCACACCACCCTCCATCTGAAGAGCATGCACAGCATATTGAGTGAGCTGTACCATCCGGCACCACCCTGGAAACACTCAACACCTGCCCACCTGGAGGTAGAAGGTACAGGTTCATACAGGCTACCACCAGAGGGCCAACAGCTTGAAGATACAGGCTGCAAAACAATGGTCTCACCCCCTCCTGCCTCCCCACTCCCAGTCTGAAGAAGCCCAGACATCACATTAGGTGGGGGTCTTAATGTTAGGCCTGATTGGTTTAGAATAGATGCTGCAAACCCAAACAGCACCACTGAATGCAATAATCTCATGTTCATTAAAAACACATTGCAAGACGTTAAAATCAAATCAGACCTAATCCAATTCATGTTCAGACAAATAAATACAAAACACAGAGTGTATAGTCTATTCACAGGTAATAATAAACCAATGACATTTCTGTGGTCAGAGAACCATCTTCAACAGATGAAGCAAATCCATCTACAGACAAGATAATATATATCACGGCATTTTAATTGTTTCCAAATCTAAAATAAAACTAAATACAGGTCTACGCCCTTTTGGGATCAAACAATAATTGGCTTGGTCATCAAAATCACTGAACAGCATATACATTTTATAGATAGGCCTGTCACTATAACAAATGTTGAAGCACAATATATAGCTACAGAGAAATACTGCGATAAACAATAATACTGAAACTGCTTTAGGCCACTGACACAAAGCAGGATAATCCCCGTAAACTTATTTTTAAATATACTGCATCATTAAAAATATTATATAAATAAATAGCAAAATCAACAAATAATTAGAACTTATTTCTTTTACCCTCTTCAGCTCAAATCTTGTCAAAAAATCACCCCACTAGAGAAAATAAATTGTACACATAATAAATATTGAACCCCAAAATATATTGTTCCAGCTTTCAAATACTGAATGACATGTCAATATTGTAATTATAATGACAGGCTTATTTATAGATTTAACTCCAGATGTCCTTCCTGGAATAATAGTTTTCATGAAATGTTAAACTTACAACAGCTACATGTGTGCTTTGACTTGCTGTTCAACTGACAGGTAATGATGGATGGGCAGGTCTAGGATTAACTCTACAGCTGCCAGGAATGGTGACAGATTTCTGTGAATACAAATGTCTCCAGAGTCCACAAAGTGCGAGATCACATTTATCTGCATGTGTTTATAGCTTCCATGGCCACTGCGGATATTAATAGCATATTGGTATTTAAGGTTAAAGACCCAGCAAGCAGAATGGCTAAACATGCAAGGCTTGTAAATTTATGGAGGGAGACACCAGTCAAGGTCAACAAAGACAGTGGATCAAAATATGAGAGGCCAAACCCTGATCTAACACAGATTAGTATTTTTATGATCTATTCAGTAGCTATTGGCCCATTGTTTTAAAAAAAAAAGATCCCAGCAGCCCAGCCATCAGTAAATGACATTGACTTTTTTATCATTATTGTTGAGGAAACCAAATCTATAATGATTGCAACTTGGAGGATGTCTGATGTGTAATGTTTTCCAGAGTGTGGTGGATGTGGTTGTTGCCTATAAAGGGACCACAGTGGTCACAGATCTTGCTGGTGGATTTATTATTTTTTAAAGTACATCCTATAAAGAAGAAATGGAAAATATTGACAAAAAAGAATGATATTTCTCAAAAAATTTACATATTTTTGCCAACCATCAGAAAATGTGCTAAACTGTCTGTCTAAATACATAAAATAGACTGTAAATGTAACCACAAAAGGGTCCACAATAGCGCTGCAAATTTTTGTTCATTTTATTTTAGGGAAAAATATCAAACTGTGATTTTTCTGACAAGCATTGCAATTGTGATTGAATTTGTCATTTGTTTTCATAATAGAATTCTTTTCAAAGTTTAAATTTTAAAAGTCATCTAGGAGAACTGACAAAAAGACTAAAAAATGAAACTGACGAACTAATGCAAGAATCACATTCAGATGTTGTTTCACATGTTTCTACACATATAAACTAGAATTTTATATTTTGTGGAAAGAATTATGGTACTTGAATATTGCACCCTTTCTGTTTTACTAAATGCGTCCATTTAAATTGTGATATCAATGAGACTGTGATCAATTTTGCTGCCCTATAGTAATAGATCAAATTTAAACTAAATGAATATGTTTTTCAGATTATTTTGGTTATCTCCCACATACAATCATCATCTGCTAGCCATTCCTTCTTTATTAATGGATTAGTTGCAGATCTTAAACATGAACACTAAATCCTGATGATCTCATTAGAGATGGTTAATGTGTAGACCACTTAGCAAGACAGACCCCCATGCACACTAAACTAGGCATCACCTTTAATCTTAACAAATGTGGATTGATAGATATAAATAATAATACAGACACTGCTATAACTGTGTTATTCATCTGCATAATTGATGTCAATGCGTAGAGTACAAGGAGTACTTCTTAAGCAAAGATTTTACAGATTCTATTCCCGGTGACACTTACATCAGTCTTGGAGCTCCCACAAAACAATAAGTAATTCAGTGTACTTGTCTATTGCAAAATAACACATAATAGGTTCCACTAATTAAGTATATTAGAACCAAAAACTAATAATATTTATCAACTAAATGTTGCACCATCACTGAAAGACAAATTTCAGTATTAACCTTGTCTCTCTGTCTGTTTGATATATTATAAACAGCAGACAGACCTGCTCAGCTCTGGTGGTTTCAATATAGCTCTCAGTTGCCAAAAGGTCAGTGCAGTGAGAGCCAGTAGAGCACTGGGCTAAATAAAGCAATGAGCTCAGCAAACACTGACAAGCCACACGCATATTACAGGCTCCTTTCTGCTCCAATGGGAACTCTGGGGACTCAGTGATTAACAGAGCCAGATTTCATCACAGCACTTCAGGCATCAATGGACACTTATCCACCAGAAAACACGGAACGAAAGTTTGTGATTTTAACATTATAAATCTGACGGTGTGTATGCTTGAGAACATTTAAGTTTCTGCGCATAATCAAGCAAGTAAGCAAGCACATGAGCTCAAAATCAATGATCACCAAAGGGCCTCAAGTAAAAAAAAACTGTGCCAAAAAGCCTGTAACCAAAAAAGAGCTACCAAAAGTGAGAAGCAAAACATGGATTGGACACAATTTGAAAATGTAATACAACAATATTAGGGGTACCATTATTAGGTATTCCGTATTGTGAGAAATGTTCTCTTAGCTGCATATCTATTCTCTGACATGTTATAAAGTTAAAGAAAAGACGCGCTAGCGCAGTGAAAGGCTAGTCTGTTAGCATGCTAGCTCATAACACCTCAACAAACTCCTAACCCTAGTCCGAGCCGATTTATCTAAATCTTTATAACGATGTGGGAGCTGGTGGCGTTGCGAGATCTTAACGTGAAAGGCACAAAACCCTGATTCAGCAAAGCGGCAGCGGAGAAATGACAAATATGTGAAAAATCCCAAAACTTCAGGCGCATACAAAGCGCAGCAGCTGCTGCAGCGTGAAACTTTGCAGCACAACAAAGAAGTTTGAGGAGCTCACTCACCTCCACTGGGTCAGCTGCCCCGCTCTGCAGCCACTGTCTCCAGGCTCGGGATCAGGGGTTCTGGTGGGTCTGCGCTCTCTAAACTCAACCTATTTTGTTTGCAAAAGTAGTGTTGTTTGGCACAAAAGGCGGAATGCCATGTATGACTTTGGTATGAAATCTGCGCGCGTAGGAAAACGCACAGAGGCGTGGCGTAAAACACGCACACGCAAGTTTTGAGTCTCCAGCATAAACTCCTCCCATAACGCACAGTTAGGACAACAGTATTTTACGTCTTTACAAGAAAAATACAACTAATTCTCACATTAGCAGAGAAAATAAGAAATATTTCAATTATTATTATAGCTTGTTATTGGACTATTACTGTAGAATATTAAATAACTTCGAGATGAACAGGCTTCAATCTCCATTTCTTTTACTCAGAGACTGTACAGTCTGTATCATACATGAATAATGTAAGACTAGATAGATACTGTATACAGGCACATGGCAATTGGCTGACAAGACTTAATCGGACTTAATCGTCCCAACAAATCGAAGGGAATTCAGTGAACAATGTTTTGTAAAAACCGGCCCAACCAGTTTTGCAGTTGTGCCTTTGCTGGCCACTAGAGGTCAGATATTGCCAACGAGAACATATGTATGATGAGAGACATCCTTCAAGCATTGCAAGTCCCTCACGCCATATAAAAACTTGGCTTGTCTCCTCTACTTTGGCCTAATTTTGATAACACAAATGACAACTGTATTATTATTATTATTACCTCCGCCAAGGAGGTTATGTTTTTGCCGACGTTTGTCTGTTTGTTTGTTTGTCTGTTAGCAACATAACTCAAAAAGTTATGGACCGATTTTGATGAAATTTTCAGGATTTGTTGGAAATGTGAAAAGGAAGAAGTGATTTCATTTTGGGGGTGATCCGGAAGAAATCCTGGATTCTGGATCACTTTGAAATTTTAGTTAACATTGTGGTAAATGGGGCCAAAAACTTTGTTTCTCAATATCTCGGTTAATTATTGACCAAACCCCATGAAATTTGACTCAGGGATGGACAATGGGATCCTCTTTCATATTCCAAAGGCTGATCCGGATCTGATCCAGAAGACTGATTTTATCGCAATTTAT